CCAGCTTCTCACACTTCCGACGTATTCCTCTAAATTCAAAAACTGAATCACTTCCGCAATTCGACAAATGACGTTTTGAAGTCAACCAAGAGAACAAAAACATACGATCAATGTCTATCTCTCACTTATCAGTGACCGTCTGCGTCTCCATTTCAACAACACTATTATCTCGCGGAACGTCTTCTCTTGTGACCCATAGTCGGTCACTCTTCAGATGAAGTTACACAGTTTCTGTGATTGAAACCGTTAGATTGATAAGAGGGGTATATAAACAGAAGATGTCTCTCGGAAAATTCATCACCTTTTTCGGTTTTCTGTTTTAATCATCATGAAGGTTCTTGCTATTCTTCTCGCTATCGTCGCTGTCGCCGTCAATGCCTATCCAGGAGGATACGGAAGACCATCTGGAGGATATGGGCCACCATCTGGAGGTTAGTAGACATTTCCAGTACCATACTAAAACTAATATTTTCCAGGATATGGAGCTCCAGGAGGTGGATATCAAAACCAAGGAGGATTCGACGGTGGTGCTCAATTTGGAGACCAATGATGGATTCCAAGGTAGGGACCAGAGAGCGATTACAATCTTATGAGCGATCTCAACACAGAAGAGAGAATTCTAATCATTGGTAGCTGGATTGCAAACGACATTCACTATCAACGCGGAAGATAAATATATCGGGTTCTATGACATGTACATCAGATTTTGATGGATATTATTTTTATAATAAAGTCTTGAAACTGGATATTATGTTCATCATATATTGGAAGCATACATGTCGACGGGCCGATTCCGAACCGGCACAGGCCAGCTGATAACTCGCTTCAAATATTAAATTGTGAGAAAAACATCATATAAAATGATAGAGCTCGGAGAGCACTACAACCTACAATGGGAATCAATTGGCTTCAAAAGCGGTATTTTGGTCCGGTCCGGCATTTTTCAGCCGGCCGAAGATTTTTGCTCCAGTCCGGCTATTTAATGTAGGCCCCGCACCCGGTTATTTACTGAAATGCTGGCCATTTCGATGTTGTAGAGCTTGCCAAGCTCTATTAACTGCTATGTCGTTCTGCGCATAATTTCAATTTTGAAGCAATTTAGCATCCGGCCCGTGCAGGCCCATATTCGGTCCATATATAAGTATGATTGGAAGACGTTTTAGATAAAACACTTAACACTCAACATATACTCTCGAATTGCCCATTTTGTTGAAAAATGTTTCATAGTCAGAAAGTCACAAAATATCAAACATCAAGGTGAAAAAGAGTAAAAGATTTGTGATAACTTGATGTTTCTGTCTTCTTCCCGACCAAAAATTTAAGCGGAATCAACAAAATTTAACCTTTGAATCATGACCTATTTTTTTAAACAACGATTTCATAAAACTTGAATATGAACTACACAAATAACAATTATAAATCATACAAATCAGGTTCAGAAAGATCCACATTGAAAACATCGAAAATCCTAACAATGGCCATACGGTTTTTTAGTTCCGCATGAAATTTAATTAAAGAATTGACAATCTTTGTTAACTTTATCAAACGACCGGCATAGTTTAAATGGGTGCCTTTGTAGTAGTTATGAAGGTTGTCAGCAAGCTCATCTCGAACTTTTTCAGAAAGGTCCAGAACATCACCTTGTAGGGATTTGCCTGAAAGAAACCCCTTCTTCTGGTAAATAGAAAATTTTGATACCTGCTATTTGCCAACACAATTCGCTAAGCATGAAAGCCATTTCTGTAGAAGTTGGGGATAGTTCCTGTAGGGGTTTGGCAATTTCAGCGAACATGTTTCTCCATGCATCACAAAAACATTCTGTGAGTTTCTCATCCCTCTCATCGGAAATTTCAGAAAATTTCAGTTGCAGAGAACTTGTTACAATGTGTTGGTCATCTAGAGCAAACTTCTGAAATTCTGAATTCACTATATACTTTAGTTTGCATAATTGTCGACGGGTTGATTCCGGGCCAGCACCAGCCGGCTGATAACTCGGTCCAAAATCGATATTGTGAGAAAAAGATCATACCATACATATAATAGAGCTCGGAGAACTCTACGAGATACAATAAAAATTGGCTGGCTTGGGTCGGCTATTAAATGTGTCTGCGAGCTCTACATCCTACTGTTAGAATTAACCGGCTTCAAATGCAGTATCATGGTCTGGGCCACCATTTTTCTAGGCCGGGCTGATGATTTTTGCGAGCCCGGATCCTAAATTCTGCCCCGCACCCGGTTCCCGTAGAAGTCTGCTTGTCAATTATTATTGGAGGATGTAGAGCTCGCCGAGCTCTATCGTCTGGTAACCTATTTTGCTTCCAATTTCAATTTAGAAGCTAGTTATCATTCGGGTCGTGCCTGACCGAAGTTGGCCCATCGGCAAGCATGCTGGTTTGTAAATCTCCACTTACCGCGTCAGTGATAGCTTCCTCTCCAAAGATCTCTAATGAAATCTGGTATCTTTCGAATTTCCTCCATATATTCCAGACCAACTTAAAAAATTGATACCTTTCATCTTCCGCCAATCTTTGAAAATCAGATGAATAGGAAAGCCACTGTGCAACAACAAACATTTGTTTTTTGAAAAAGTCGAATAGTTTTTTGATTGGTAGCTCTATCAAAAGTTTCATTTCAGTTTCTGGTTTTTGCCTTTTCCTCCATTGTCGTAATGCATACTCAGCTAGCTCCAACTTATTGAAGCCTTGAGTTTCTGTTGGATGCAAAGTCTAAAAGTTCTACTAAGGTAAGCTGAATAAAAGCTAAAAACCGACGTTATTCAGTAGACGACAAATTTCTCGTTTCGTGGAGCTAACATCTATCACTCGTTTTCGTTTTATTGTCTTGCTCCTGACTTTTAGAACAACACTTGGGATTTTATAGGATTTAGATTTAGGTCGGCTTGATTTGAAAGAGTCGCGATGTCTTTGAACATCTGTAAAGAATGAAATCTGATATTATTCGTTGGTTGGAACTTATTCACTTTCAGGCGTCATATTGAGAGATATACATTTCTTAAAACGACATGATTTACAGTGATACCTGTCATCAGGATTTATAGAACAGCTATTGTCATCTCGACGACATAAATATTTGTTTTCTCGGTTATCCACAATTGTTCGCCTGGAAAAGTTGAAAAGTTAACCAAAACAATTAATGCGGCTCACCTGAAAAATGCTGCACAGGCTCTACAGGTCATCACTCCGAAATGAAGTCCATGCGCAGGAGATTTACAAATTTTACAGATATCAGAAAGAGTTTCAGACAATTCCATTTGTATAATCTTTGGCTGAAATTTCATGAAGATATGCAGTACCGGTCAATAAGAATAACGCATTTTTCAGTTGATTTTTGAACTTTATGGCCATTTTCAGAAATCTGGATCTCGACTGTCAAGTTTCTGATCACTTTGAAAATTTCGGAGGGTTTAAAACCGACCTAGACTGAAAACTTTGCATTCACAGAATTTTTTGAAAATTCCTAGTTTTTCAGCTACATACCGATTTCTGAAAGACAGTTTTTAATGGTTTCCAATACAAAAATGGATCAGAAAGGAATGTCTTCCAGAAATCATAAAATACCGTAAACACTCTAATAGAAGGCCACCCGAACCGTAAGCCTTCTATTAGAAGTTTTACGTTTTACTCCCTTTAAAATTTACAAAGTGATCGGAAACTTGACAGCCGAGCTCCAGACTTCTGAAAATGGTCAAAATTGCCGAAAATCAACTGGAAAATGCGTTTTCGAATATATTTTTTACAGGTACTGTAAGCAGAGCCAGTATATAACCAAAGTACAAGATTAAAAAAAAACAATATGTCACTTGTCATTGTGTTTATCTACCTCTTCCTCTCTTGTTATCCTCGTTTCTCTCTATTTGTTCAAAAAATATGATGATCATTGGCTAGAGTGGCTACATATCATAGAATGGTCACAGATGGGCACGATTTGACACATTTTTCGAATTCTTAGATTTTCCCAAAATCGTTTTCCAGGAAACCAAAACATCTAAGAACGGATGACTTAAAATTCAAAATTCAAACTTCAAACATGGAAAAATTAATATCGAAGAAAATAATAAATGAAAAATTTATAAACACATAATTCATTTTTTGGGCATCCATGATAATAAACTTGTTTTTTCGAATAAATTCTATCTTCGCTCTTCTAACTTTCAAATCAAAAATGGTATACTCTAAACTTTTGAAAGACTTTTACTGGGTATTCCAAAAGGGTAGGTAGAAATTCGCAATTATTAATTGCAAGTTGAACTCGAATTTGTTAATAATTGATAATCAATAAATGAAAGCGTTGGTAAAGTTAAGTTCAAAATTTCAGCCGGAAAAACGAAGCAAATAGATGAGTCATCTAGTTTCTAAACCACTATTCTGCTTCGTTTCCTTCCTCTTCCTCCGTCTCGTGCGTTTTTCCTCACTCTCGCACGTTCTCCGTTTTCAGTTTCCTCTTTTTAATGTGTAAGCAAGTCTCCTAGGTGATTTGAACACCTACACACTCACATAGAATCGTATTTTGCTCTGTGTAGGCTTCCAGGGATATAAAAACAACGGAGCTCAGATGAACAACTGAGATTTGGTGTTACGAAATCCTTTTATTTCATTTTGTTTATGTTTTCAACTTTCAAAAAACTTAACTAAATTCAGGAATGCTCCGTCGTGTGCAAGAAGTCCTCTCCAAGAAATTCCCGAGATGGGTATTTGATGAGCGGTCCGGACCACTGGACTGGTCCATTTTGCCAATGGAAATGAAACGAGAAATTGTGAAACACACGGATTTTGAAACCAGGTTACCCAATCACATAGAACTTCATAATGAAAAATATTTCTAGATGTCGACTCCGTCAATGTTCCAAACAAGACCAACAAATAGTGGAATCTCTGAAAGTCGGAATCCCATTTATTCAAATTGAATCGGACAAAAATTTTGCGTCAGTCATGATTTTTGAGAGTAAAACCAAAGTGATCAAAGTTGAAGTGAGCAAAAAACTTGTGTCCAAACTGTCGAAAAAGCCTAAAATAAAAATGTAAGTTATTGATATTTTAAAGATTTTGTAGTTCGTGGATTTCAGAAGCGATAACATTGAAGGAGCGAACCCTAGACAGATTCGTAGCTGCCACGATTTTGATGCAATTGTGGACAGTCTGCTAAGAGCAATTTACCGAGACAATGTCTCTATTGACAGCTTGAACCTGATTTTGAAATATTCAAATGATGTGAGTTTTAATATTTCCTACAATTTTTTTGGTTAACTGATAAATATAAATTTTCAGATTATCACCAATTATCTCGATACACACTATAGAGAACAGTTTGGCCCTCGTCGGAAAACTAAAATCACTTGTAGTGGTGTCGGATTTTTGGTGGCTAATGTATATTTTCTTCCAATTGATGAGACAAGAGTTTTTAATCCATTGGTAACCAATTACGAAGAAGGAAGAATGATGATGGCTGAGAAAACATACAATGTGGCTCCTTCCGGACATCTGGCTCGCTTGGGACCAACAACTTTTTGGAAACCTAGCTTACTGAATTGTAATCTTGGAGCTCTTATCGCGGTGAGATGATTCAAAGAGTTCATCTAAGGCAACGACTATTTTTCAGGGCATAATCTGGAAAATCAATACTGAAATGGAGCGTTTTTTCATTCCAGACCTTGAAGTTCCCGAGTACCAAGAGTACTGTAATCGTTTTGAGGGACGGGTCACAAGGTTGGCGAGAGATTGTAAAATCATTTTTCAAGGTTTTTTTCAGACATGGCAAGTTCACTGCTCTCCACATACCAGTGGGAGATCAGGATAATGAAAAGAAGTTGATAATAAAAATGAGTGCGTGTGGAGTTTTGATTGAGAAGAAAAGATTCGAAGATGTTGCAATTTTTGAAGAGGTTTGTTCATTCAGACGGGTTTAAGTTCAGGCCGATTTTTCTCGGTTCCTGTGAAAGATAACAAAAATTGTTAACTGATAAATTGTTTATCATAATATCAGAAGTGATTTGTCAGTTGATACATTTTTGATATCTCTCACAGGAACCGTGATAAATTAGCTCAAACTTAACAGTTTTGTGGGCTCTTCTATCACGGTAACCATGAAAATGTTTCAGGGGAAATGCATTCTTGGCTGGCTGTGCTCAAAATGTGATAAGTCTGTGGAAAGTTGGTACTTCCGAGAAACACACTTCTCGAACAAGCCAGTTTAAAATTATCTTACTTCTGCATAAAGTTTTTATTCATATAAATTTTTTATCCTTCGAAAAAATCGGGATCCGAAAGTTCCACATTGAAAAAGTCGAACACCTTTGCCAACTGGATAGTGGTTTTTCGTTCCAGTTGAATTCGTTTCACAATATTCACAACACTCATCAGTTTTACAAGTCTACCCGCATAGTTTGATCGACGTTTAATTTGAAGATAGTGGTGATGAAGATTATTGGCTAGCTCTTCTTGTTGAATCTCAGCGATTTCCATTACTTTTCCTTGCAGAGCTTGAGCTAAAACAAATACGTGTTGAGATATAATTAGAAAAAAACTCTTACCTGCCAACTGCCAACATAATTGACTCAACATATAAGCCATTTCCATTGAAGACGGCTCCAGATGACCTAGTAGAACAGCAGTTTGGTCGAATAATTTCCTGACGAAATTCCGGAACGTTCCACCCATAGGCGACATCGGCCAATCAGTTATCTTCGAGATGTCAATGAACAGCTGAGCTGTTACATAATACTTTTCCGAGATTGCGAATTTCTAGAAATTTAGAGCTTGACGATTACAGAGGAAAATGTTTGATCTACCATGTCACATGCTGGCGTGTCTTTCCCAAACATCTGAACGGACATCTCGACTCGCTCGAACCTTCTCCAAACATTCCAAACAACTTTGTACATCCGATACCTTTCCGATGGTTCTAGTTTTTGGAAAAATTGGCAGTGAGCTAACCAATTAGCGATAACCAGCATTTGATGCTCACACATCGTGAACATTTCATGGACTGTCAGTTTTGAGATCATCTGGAATATCAAACATTGTTTTAGAATACAGCACTTCTTAATTCAACTGACCTCCATATCCTCTTCTTTCTTCTGTTTGGCTCTCCATTCTCTCAATGCCAATTCCATTTTTTCCAGGCAGTTTAGGTTTTTCAGCTTTGGATTTTCGCCTATTTTCTTCTTAAAAATGAATTTTAGCACATTATAAAAGTTGAAAAAGCTTACATCGTTTAAAATCTTCTGAATTTTAGTACATAGTATTGTCACATCTACTATCCGTTTGGGCTTAGTCATCAGAATATGAGAAGGTGGATCACAGGGTCTCTAGAAATCGGAGTAAAATTGATACCAGAAAACTGTCTACCTACTTTTAGTGGTATGTGATCCTCTTCGTCTTCACTGCTATCACTACTTCTCTTTTTCCTCGATTCTGGAAATGGGTCCCGATTCCATTGAACATCTGAAAAACAATCAGTTGTGGATTTTGCTATCTATTCTTCGCCCACTGTTAGCTGTCATTCCCATTGTTACACATTTGTTATAGCGACATAATCGGCACTGGTATCTGAAAAGAGATGTTTTGAAAAATCTACATCAGAAAAATATAATACTTACCGGTCACTGGTATTAACAGCACACGAGTTGTGCCCTCCACGACATTTGTATTTCTTGGTTCGAGACATAACTATTGTTCTTCTGAAATTTTTAGATCAACTATAAGTTTCCAATTACAACTGCTCACCTGAAAAATGCAGCACAAGCTCGGCAACTAGGTACACCAAAGTGAACACCATGAGATGTTAGATCGCATACTTTGCAGATGGATCCATTCTCAGATACAGATGTTCCAGGACTCTGCAGACCTGGACTGTCCAAGCCATCGGGCTTAGATTCAGAAGTCAAGCTAGACGTTGACGGTTCAGAAGACATTAATGAAAACTGACTGGATAGTGAAATAAAAGAAAAATGAAGGAGGAGGGCAGAAACCCCAAGCCAAGAAGAAAATAGTCATAAAAGACACGAAACAAGAAAATTTTGTGTAGGAGGTGACAAAAAAAACGGGCACAAATCACATGAAGTGAGTCTGTTGTGTGTGTCTTGTTGACCGAACTAACTGTTCTTCGCCTCTTCGGCAAACCAAAAATCGGGCGCGCAAAAAAAAGTTGATGGGATGGGAACGATAAATTTGTGATATTATGACGAGGAATGAGGAAATAGTGTAGTTTGTAGTCACTGTGACTGAATTGACCTCACTATCAGAAAAAAAAGGTGCTTGCATTTTTTTATCAGCAGAGATCGAAATATTACTGAATGTTGCGGAAACTATCTAAAATATTACTCACCTGGAAAATATTCGAGATATTATGAAAAAAATTTATCACTTGAAAATTTTTATTATTTTTCTTGACGAGATTATTGAGCTCAAAGTTGATGGTTTGGGTTTGCTTCTATTAGCGAAAATTCGTTATATTCAAATTCACAAAGAATTGTATTTTTTACAGATTTAACAAGGATCATTTTGTCCTTAAAAGTGCGACAGAAATGAACCATAATTTTGGCATATTTTTCCTTGATAGACGTTTTTCTCAACGCTTCCATATGAGAGCTTCCATTTGCATGTGTAGTTCTAAATTGTCACTTCAAAGGCTATCAAGCAAATTTCAAGCTTTTTCAACCAGGTCAGACACAATTGCAAATCGTGATTTGCTGGACACAGTTTTCGATATTGTGATCTGATCTTGATCGACACTACATAAAGGGCAAAGCAAAAAATTCAAGTTTGTGTGATCACAATGAACTTAATGCTTTCAAAGATATCAAGAATTGCAAAACCTCAGAATTGTAGCCGTTTTTTTTTCAATGCATCTTCTACCTTATAAATGCTTGGTTATGTAATAACATGGTTAGAGAAATGTAGAGTCTAGTCACGTAATTGGTTTAGAAAGCTAAAAAATATCGAGAAAAACTAACCTAACTAGATTTTTTTTTCGTTTTCTCTATTCGTCACTTCCCAAGTCAATATATTGAATGACTTCCTTGCTTCAGAAGTACTATGACACGAATTACACTCTTAATTGTTCAAAACGGTCTTTTTTAAACACAAACGAATTTCTTGTCTCATCTGTTACTATTTTGTCACCGTTCTCCATCATATTAGGTACCTATGGGATGCTTGTCATTATATTTGCTACCCCGAAACAAATGGAGAGTGTCAAATGGTTTTTATTTCACTATCATGTTATGTGAGTGATTTGACAGTATTTTAAATAAATATGATAAAGTTTCCAGAACATTTTTTATCGAGTTAACCCTGAACAACCTCATTGTTCCACTAGTAATTCTACCATCTGCTGCAGTATATTGCAATGGATTCTTATTGGATTTAGGTATCCCGTTCAAAGTGGTCATGTATATAAGCGATGTTAGCTTTATTGGTTAGTCATGTTTTCAGCTATGTATTATAGATAATGTCAGATTGCAGCACTTTCCTTGTCGATGCTCATGATTTTTGAGAATCGACATAGTCAAATTATCACTATCCCATATCGGATGTCGAAAAAATCTACGAAAGTTATATTCTATGCGATTCATTATGTTCTATTTCCATGTTTTCCAATAGCATATTACTATGGAGAATTTGATTTAGACACTGCCAAGTTGGAAATTCTCCAAATTATTCCATGTCCTGAGCCTCATTTCTTTGACAAGCGAACACAAATAATTACTCTGGACATGGAATTGTTTGGAATGATTAGTGGATTGATTATGTTGTATTTCACAATTATTATCCAGTTTTTTGCACTTCAAAGTGGCTACTACCTTCTGAAAAAGACAACGACTCACATCAGCGACTCGATGAGGAGCATGCAACGAAAATTTTTCCTCATTTTATCTATACAGGTAGCCGTACCCGTACTATTTATGTTGATTCCAAATATTATTTACTACAGTGCAGAGACAGTGGATCAGTGTGAGTAAAATAGTCACATGATAACTTCTAATTTAGATTTCAGTCGTTAGCACGATGACTGTTCTTTTTGTCAGTTTTCATGGGATTGTTTCAAGTGTCATATTGATTGTTCTGCATAAGCCATACAGAGATTTCACATGGAATAACTCGCTTGGAAGATGTATTGCCAACTCGCGTAACACGTTGTCAGATCAAAGTGTTAAGCCGAATACTGTTACAATGTTCTAAAAATTGGATTTTATGAAGTCAATTTTTTACAGTTATGAATAAAACGTTTCTATTTCAAACTGCTACTTTACCGTACAATCTGTATTAGAAGAGGTCCTTCAATAAAAGAGCCCCTTTTACCCTGGAACAATAGAAAAGCTGGTCCTTCTAATACTGGTTTTAGAGTAATTTTTCAGCTATATCATGTTTTAACCCAAAATAAATAGATTGGGAGGATTCAAATAAATGATAACGTTCTCATAACTGCGATCTCAGTCTTCCCAGTACTTTTTCAATCAAAACTGTAAAAATATAATTATTTATTATCAGAAAAATAACAAATTATTAATGTGACACGCTTCAATGTCTCGATAGAATCGCAACTGGTGGTTGGCTAGATTTCTTCCGGCTCTCCTCAACCTTCGAGTTTCTCCTGACCAGTATTTCCACAACTATCATTGACTCGATTGCTCTCCCAGTTTGCTTCAGCATAGCAGAAACTGGACCAGTAGTAGAATATGCGATTAGTGGAGAGTTGGGGAATTGATTTGCCAGAAAAGATGGTACAAAATCAAAAGTGAAGATGAGAAAAGCGTCGATGAGTGCAAGTCGATTCGCCTCAAAGTGTACCATGAAGAGTTCAAAAGCCTTCGAAATTTTAAAACTAACCCTCGTTGCTGCTGTAGAATCCTTCAGCTTTTTCGAGAACAAAAAAAGCTTCACGCATAGAATTATGGTGAAGAAAATGATGATTGGGAAAATAACTTCCTTATAAGAAGTCCACCAAGAGTAAGCACAAGTGTTAAGTGTACATGGCAACGCCACGCATGTGCCTTTGATAAGTTCAGAAGTTCTTCCGCAAATGTAAATTATCACAAAGTCTTCAATGCCACTGAATAAAATTGGTAGAATGAAGAGGATGGAGTTAGGGAAGTTTGGCCGTATCTTGTGATATTTGATGGGGAGATAGGTGGCCTGAAATTGAAGTTTTCAAGCAAATGTTTTGTTTTTTGATTTTTATATTTTAAGATTTCGGTTTCTGTCCCATGTCAAAATTTGAAATCTATTCATGCGAATTAACTTTCATATGATGCTAGACTTACCAAACATCTATCCAATACGATTATCAAAACAAGGAAGTTTCTTGCTGCACTTGCGTTAGAAAACGGTAAACCAAGCCAAAAAAGATAAGAGTTGCTTATGAAAAATGAGGACTCATAAACCGCAAAACCCAGGATAAAAAATGAGTACAGAAAGTCTAGAATATATAAATCAAACGGTTTTACGAAAGTCTGTAAAATCGAAACTTACAGGAAAGCCCAAAAACCACATCAATATAAAAACGAAAGTAAAATAGGACTATTTCGTGTTTCTTTTTTCTTGTGCTGTATAATAGGAAAATGTTCAATAGAATAACAAAAAAAGAAAAAATGGTTCCCACTAATGTGACGATGAATGCTGACGAGTTCATGAAAGCCTGAATAATGCGGTATCTATGTGGGAAGCTCCTATTTTTCGGTTTCTAGACTTCACGCACACTGGGCGTGAGATCATGTCTTATTAGTCAGTTGTGAGAAAACCCAAATTTCGAGCGAAAACGTGATTGGACTCCAGTACGGGTACAGGGTACCTGGGAAGATTTTGGGAATCCCCTTTTGCAAGATTTGTAAGATCACCGAATTTTCCGATTTTATTTTTGTTGGGAAATTCTGAAGCGTCAAAACAGTTTCCGAATTAAAAATTATGAACATTTTATTAGTTTGAAAACATTAAAATTAAAACTAAAAATTATGGTGGAACCCAAAAAAATTCCGGATTAGAAAAGGAAACATTGAACATGTCGAATGTTCCTCCAACTTTATATTTTTCTGTTCGAATGTTTCGAATTTTCAGGAATTTTTCTTTGACTTTCATCAACTGCTTAAGACGTAGAAGATACATCGGTTTTTTCTTTTTCATATAATACTCATGAAGTTCGTTCGACAATACATCTTCCATTTCTCCCATATCTTCTTCAATATGACCGCCGTATCGTTTGCCTGAAATAACTGTCTAAATGAAAGTTTAAAAATGTTTTGTCGTCTACTCGTAAGAACCAAAATCATCAACAAAAGCCAGCTTTTTTGCATACCTGCTAATTGGAAACATATCATACACATGATGAACGACATTTCCACGGCATCCGGTTGTATTTCCATTAGTTCCCATACAACATCATCATAATAAAGCTCACTAGGAATGAAGAAACTGAAAAAAACATTCATAGCTTGATTATTCATAAAAGTGAAACTCACTATTTCATCTCTTCAAAAGAATGTGTTGACCAACAACTGATATCCGAATCCATTCCATCATAATCTATGAGTGATTCATGTGAGAAAACGAACTGTTTTTTCCCACACAAATGTCGTGATCTCATTTTGGCCGTCATTGTTATTCTCTCCAATCTTCCCCAAATAAACCAAATTGATTGTAGCAAACGGATTTTTAATTCGTCCGAGTAGCTTTTGAACTTATCAGAGCAAGATAACCATTTTGCTGCACCGCTCATGCTTCTTTCAAATTCATTAATATGATCGTCTTTGGTGAGATACACAATTTCTGTAATGTTCTCTTTTTGCGCCAATTGATAATCTTCAAGTCCTTGCGATAGTTGCTCCAAGTTGCTTAACTTTTTAAACTTTTGAACCATATTAGGATTTAAAACCAATGCTATTGCTTTGCCGACTAGTTGAGTAATATCGATATATGGTAGTTTGTTATTGCCTTCACGCAATGGGATGAACGATACAAGATGATTCAAGCCCAGTACTTTTTCGACCGTCTGGAAAATAATTTTTGGATTAGTAACATTTTTGAATACTTACAATAGGTACTCCGATTCGATCTCCAACCAATTTTAACTGTGCTTGTTTTTTACGGAAATCCGCTGACGATTTGAATGCGTCTCGATCATACTGTATATCTAAAAATCTGACTCGTCTTAAGAAATTTTTGAACGAATTTCTCACTCGCAGTTGTCATTCCTGATTCCAAACATTTTATAAGCCTGCACTTTTTACAAAACCATCTTCCATTTTTATTTGGTCCACAGTTTCCATTCATCAATCGACATTTCCTTTGTTCAATAATTGAAGAAAAATGACATCTTCTAAAAATGCAAAAGTCATAAAATGAGTTCTGATCAAAGTAAGACATACCGGAAAAACGCGGCGCATGCTCGGCAAGTGAAAACTCCAAAATGATAACCATGTCCTTGTTGGAAGCAAATTTTACACTCTTCCTGAGATGACGGATCAGATGACGTGGAGCATTGTTCAAAATCGGTGGAGAAAGAAGAAGATGATGAGTAGGAAACAATGGACAGCGCCATTGTAGCTGAAAAAAAAAAAAAATGTAAAATTGAAATAGAATGATTGTGAAGTGCACGAGAAATAGAAGAAAAAGAACAGGTGAATGTTTGCCTAAAGCAAGCATGGAAATAGCTTACGGAAAATAGAGACTTTCGAAATGAAGAAGAAAAATATCAAAAGTTTGTACATGACTCAGAGTCCAGTGAATATTGTAGCCTTCCTATGAAAAAACAGTAGGGGATTTCGAAACCTTACAAGGAAACAACTTGATGATTTTCGTCGCTTCAAATCTATCAAAAATTATATTCTAAAAGTTAAAAAATGTCTACGAATAATTTGTACCGATCTAGTTGAGAATGAACTGAAACCAAGGAAGCGGACCGAATTGAGATCAAAAACCAGAAAACATAAAATATACGCCATTATCAATTCTTTATGACGTTTGAGCTCAATTTCGCTGATAAAACAATTTGATGTAATATCAGTAATGAACTCAAGAGAAAAAACTTACCAAAAAATCAATTACCCGGTTCATTCGAATGTATTTGAGTGTGATCCTTGAATTCATTCGAGCTTATATTGCTTTCATGACATCCCCAATCGTCAGTGTATCATTCTGAATAACGTCCGAATAGCCCGTGTATGTACAAAATCATACAGGGAAAGTAGAAATTGAAACAAATAAGTTCTTCAAGATAGACTTAAATAACAAAACGCGTACTAAAACGAGGTTCATTTGGGCAAAACATAAAACCAAAATTAAGGGGAGCTTCTTCACGAATCGTACACTTAGCGCAATAATGAAGCCCAAATGATATTGAAGGTCTTTTTCAGGTTTCATACCCATAACTATGTCTCATTTTATTTAATATCGTTCTTAATGCCAACCCATTTCTTATTTATGTCTTAATTATGTCTCTCCATGTCTTATTTATTTTTTGTCCCACTTTTTGCTTTCCGCCTACTTGTTTCTCTATTTTTTCAGTCACCTCATTCCACTAGCTCTTGAACGTGTAATTTTTTTTTCTTTTATTATGATGCTCAATCTTTGTTTTGCACAATAATTTTATGTCATTACGTTTCTCACTATTTCACATCGTAATAAATTATTATTATTATTATTATTATATAAATTCTGAATAATCAGAATTGAATTGGAACAAACCGAGTATGGGAAAAAACTTTATGTCAGAAAACACATATCGTTTGGACAAGACCCAGAAATAGAAAGTAGAATTCATGCTGCGATTTTTACATTGTACGAATAGATCATACATATGTGTGTATTGAAAATTTTCGTTCGATATATAAAAATTGTTAAAAACTTTAATCGCAAAAGTATATTCATAAAGTAAAAGGAGAATTGAAAAATTCGTAGACAAAAAAGAGATTCAATGAAATTGATATTTTGAATCCGCTGGTAATGGAAGTGCATAGCGACTAGGGATAACAGCAGACGTTTTTCTTCTCAATATATTTTCAGTCACAAATCTTCGATATGAAGAGTTCAAAATGAGCATTGAAATAGTGCCAGGAATTGGGGCACAGACAAATAAGGAGTTGATTAGTGTAGAGATAACTGAAATTGGTTTTTCGGGAGAGGAGAAAATAATCTCCAAGCTTACTTCTAGTGTCCATCTGGGGACTGACAAAATAAGAAATGACAATCCAAAACGGCCATGTTGAAATGAAAATTGACTTTATCACAATCTGGAAAACTTTCATGGTCACACTTTTTTCCAATTTGGCACAAACCTGGATAGTAGTGTCTACCACAATTTTCCTCTGATGATTAAAGTTGGTTTTACTCATTTTACGAGTCTGTTTCGAAAGTTCAAAAAGCATTAGACCGCTTGAGATGAAGTAAACCTGAAATATTACTTATCAGCATTGTTGAATACAGTACTTGTTAGGTCACTTACTCCCAGAGCTCCCACTCCAGTCACCACCATCAACCCCAACAAAATGTATAAAGCATGAACGTTTGTAATTATGAGAACACCTTGAAGATCAGTTACTGCCTCACAGCCAGGGAAGTTCTGAAAAAAAAACCTTTCAGAGAGAATTGAAGAATGTTGTAAAACCTCTTCAATATACTGAACTTTTTCCAGATCAGTCGAATCGCAATATTTCCAAACTGTCAAAAGAAAAGGTAATAATGTCAACCATCCTATGGTTAAAAATCCGATATAGAACCAAGATGGGAACTAGAAAATTAGTTTTAAGCTAATTTTCGTTTGGAGAAAACTCACATTAAAGAAACTTTCTGGTCGTACTACCATCCGATGTCTAACTATCAACTGTCCAATTAAGAACAAAACAAAAAAGCTCAAGAGGATTAGCCATACTCGAAACGCAGTATAAGTTGAGACGAGATTGTTCAGAAAGTTCGAGGAATAAAGAGCTGGAAACGGGAAAAGGGGCATAGTGTTCATAGAGATTGCCCAATAACCTTGAGATAGCCAAAGAGTGAACTAAAAAATATATATAATTTCAGTCCATGGCTAATAATGTCTACTTACCAAGTTTCCAAAAAGAGTGAATCTGAATAAATTCGTTTCTTTTTTAGATTTCCGTATGATTACATAACATCCGATAAAATTGACTATCGTAGAAAGTAAAGTGATTAAAATCGAATATGGAATCACTGAATGCTCGGGAGGATTACTCACAAGAAAATAAGCACACTTTTCTTGTGAAAGCATATTTGCAATATATGTTTCTGGTAAGCAAAAAAAGTGATTGGAGAATAAACGAGACAAAAATTAAGATGAAAAGTAATCAGAGGTATGCAGGTGTTATGATTAAATTTCAATAACTTAGGTATCAAAAATCGAAAAATTCTTGTCTGAAAACTGAAGAAACAAGCTGTTTTTATATTCAAACTATTTATCTTATGATATTAAGAGATTAGGTTTCAGTATTTCAGACGCGAAAACAAGGGAGCGTTGCAAATTCTCAGAAAAAAACAACTATCAATTAAAGTATGATCCTTAATTTGGTTTTCAAGCATAATGATTGATTTGTGAACGCTTTTTTGGGAAAATTGTAAACAAGAAGGCTTTAAACTCTTTTAAAAGTATTTGATATTTACAGCAAAACCTGTAATAAATAGAAGCGCCCCCACACTCTCACGTTCGATCTAATTTTCCTTGGCTCCTGCGCAAGATACCAAAAATGTGTTAACGGATACTACGCTTTTGATATTATGATAAGCAATTTCTCAGCTGACACTTCTTTGATATCTTTAACAGGTATCGAGATAAACCGGCTCAAAGTTGAAAGTTAGTGTGGCCTTCTATTACAGGTTTTGCGGTGACCGAATGAGAGTTGTCCTGAAACTTACAGTATTATGTACTATGCATCTGAACCCTGATCTTGGGATGTGTCAGCTTCATATTATGAGGTTATTAAGAATAATATTTCTCCTGAATTCTCAATATTGGATGAAATTAATGAAGTCTGCACATTTGAAACATCCTTTATTTATGTAAAACATTGCTTTCACAGACATTCAATAGAAAAACCCCCCAAAAATTAATTTACCTGTACAAATAAATCTAGGCAGTGAATCAAAAAACAGAAGGCTTATATCTAACATAAACAGTCTGTCCAACATGGATATAAGCTTCTTTGACAGTTCCAGCGTAGACTCCAAACACTGGACTATCCGTATGGGCCTTTCTCATTTTTCCTTCTGGTGCCAAGCGGAACTCTCGAAGTTTCTTCAGCGGTTGATTTTCCTTGCTCATCTCTCCTTTTTCTGGGTCGACGGTTGTCAAAACACAGCGAGTGCACGGAGCAAAGCATTCTAGGTGTGCATCTCCGATTCGAATCTCTGCCCATTTGTCTTCATCCCATGGAAGGCATCCTTCGACGTATATAGAGGGTCGGAAGTTTTTCATTGTTACCTGAGTACATTTATGAAGAATTATATCACTTCAGCACTCACCTTATTCTCCAACTTTTCATTCAGTGCGTTTAATGAAGCGTCAGTAGCAATCAGGAAGGGAGCGAGGTCAGTGAATCCAGACTGAAAACGGTTATGTCGAAAACTTTTGAATCTAATATCTCACATCATCCTTTCTTTTTGGCACTGGTGTATTCCACCATTCATCCTTTGGCACACAAGTTCTCTCTGTATAAAGTCCCTCTTTGTAAAAAATGAGCCGATAGTTTGGTTCTTCAATGTAGTCGGATAGCAGCTTTGCAACTTCATCGCCACAGTCGTATCCGTCTTGAAGCAAGTTATCAAATAATCGGAAAATGGAAGTTTAAACTTAAGCAGATGGACAAAACTCTTACGATGCTCTGATGATGCGACCATTCGCAACAGCTTTTTTCAGATCCACAATTAATTTCTCTTTGCCTGGTACTGTAATTTCCAAGGTCTCATTCTCCACATGGCTTGCTACATGGACCAGCTTCGGTTTTTGACGAGCTGTGATGAATTTTCCAGTAGACTCATCGACTAGGAGGAACGCTCGGTCCTCCAGTTCCCCCATCTGTGGACCAGTTTTTGTGCATTTGAAAGCAAAAAGCTGGAAAAATATTTTATTTTTTCAATAGATCAGGAGGCTTGCAAAACTTACATCAATAGGCTTGCAGGACTTGATTGGGTAGATGTGAAGACCCTTCACCACTCCGATTGGAACCCATTCTTGGGATTTTGCGCTGATGTAGGAGTAAATCTGACGGGCGATCTGGAAATGGTTTGTTGTGAATGCTTCATTTATGTCGCAGATCCGGTTGGTTCGGAAATCTTGGTTTGTAAAAATTATAATTCAAAATGTTTTAAAGTATTTTTCTAATTGGCTGTACTTCGTCACTCCAATTCGGTTGCCGATTCATTAAGACGGATCGGTGCTGTTATTTTGCAACTATACATTTGTACTTACATGACTTACATGATAACTTACATGATAAAAAATAAATGAACTTGCCAAACAGCCAATCAAAATTTTCTTTTCTCTGTCAAACTCCATATCTGTTATGTCTGAAACGAAAAACTACATCAACGTTTTCTATCAAAAACATTTGCAACAATGGTAGAAAATAGGAATGCTAGTTGGGATATAAAATAGGAATGAACAGCGTTGTTGTTATACAACGTCGGTTACGACTAAACAACGTCGGTTAGGACTCGGTAACCTGTTGACCCAACCAATTTTCTATCTACACTTGCACACCCTGCGTCTCTTCCAAATGTCATCTATTTCTTTGTTCGTCAGTACGTCACGATAATGTATTTTGTGGGTTTGCATGTGTGAAGGAGAAAAGGGAAAACAAATTTTAGAATTGTGATGTTCATAGCTCCACTGAAAAAGTTGAACTACTGATACCTGACTTTTCCAGTACAATATGTGATTATAAAACTGAACGATTTATCGCATTACAGTAATACACATATTATTTTCAAAAACAATCAGAACGCAGAAGGTTTATATTTCGCCCAAACTGTCTGTCCAACATGGATATATGCTCCTTTCACCAGTCCAGCATACACTCCAAAAATTGGGTTATCCAAATACATTTTTCTCATTGAACCTTCTGGTGCCACCCGGAATCCTCTCATTGATTTCAATGGCTGATTCTCCGTGCTCTTCTCTGCGGAATCTGGGTCAACTGTGACCATAACACATCTTGGACACGCTGCCATTGTTTCCAAATGAGCGTCACCGATTCTTAGTTCCGACCATTTGTCTTCGTCCCAAGCGGGACATCCCTCTACTTCGATAGATGGCCGGAACTGGATTATGTCGATCTGAAATTATAGATCGAATGAAAATAAGATGGGCCAGTTCTGGAAAACCTTCTTATCCATTTTCTCGTTTAGATCTCTCATAGATGCATCTGTGCAAATAAGGAATGGCGCTAGATTCGTAAATTGACTCTGTAACGGTAGAATTATAGATGAAACTGAAAATTACACGAAGCTCACATCATCTTTTCTTTTTGGAACTGGATTATTATTCCACCAATCGTCGGTTGGTTCACAAGTTCTCTCTGTATATAAGCCTGCATCTGCTTTGTAATATATCAGTCGATGATTTTCCACTTCCAAAAAGTCGCACAATAATTTTGAAACTGGATCTCCACAATCAAACCCATCTTGTTTTAAATCAAGCAGCCACCTGTAACATTAAGTTCATGATACCTATAAAGAAATATTCAACTTACGCAGCTCTGATAATTTGTCCAGATTTTACAACGTTTTTCAAGTCTACTACCACACTAGGTTTTCCTGGAACACTGACTTCTAGAAGTCCATCGTTCATCGTACATTCCATATGCACTAGCTTCGGCTGAGTTCGACCAGTGACGAATCTGAACGAATTTTTTTAAGAAGAAAAAAGAAAACTACAGACTTTCCAGTTGCCATGTCGACCAATACAAATGCTCTATCCTCTAGCTCACCCATGACCGGTCCCAACTTGGTACATTTGAAAGCGAACAGCTATAGAATTATCAGTTTTGCGATGACAAAGACAACGGGCTCACCTCGATAGGTTTGCAGGACTTGATGGGATAAATGTGGAGGCTTTTAACAGTACCAATTGGAACCCATTCCTGAGATTTGGAACGGATGTAGGAGTAGATTTGGCGGGCTGTCTTGAAATTTTCGACCTGGTGAAAAGAATTTTAAAAAGATTACTTACATGATAAGCCAAAAAGGAGCTTGCCATGCACCCGATGAACACTTTCTTGTCTTTGTCAAACTCAAGCATTTTGAGAATTTACAGAAAAATAACGACTGTGTTGGAAGAAATAAAACACAAGACAGTAGTTATGAAAACAATAAGACTGACACTTACGATCATCCATCTTTTGGTCCAGGCCCACCCTTATCTACTGCCAACAATCAGACAGCGAACAGAAAGACGTGACGTCAGCAGGCTATTTTTGCTTATTAAAACAACAATCACTGTAGGTGTTAGTTATGGGCAGAACCACTCGAGATTGATTTATACTTTATGATTCGATCTTTTGACACCTTTATTTCTGGCGTTGCTGCTGTGGTATGGGCAAGTACCGTAAGACCTGTAATAGAGGCGTCCCCTAAAATTCAGATCAATTTCTCTCTGTTCCTGACAAAGATATGAACTGATAAATGCTATAACATAATATCAGCAGTATTTTATCAGTTTACAAATTTTGATATCTTGCATAGGAATTGAGATAATTGAGCTCAAACTTGACATTATGAGAGCCATTCTAATACTGGTTTTACGGTGGCTCATCCTCTTCACAGAAGCATGAAGTGTATGAAAATGTCACAAACTCATTTATAGACTTTTTTGGTTTTTTAGCCTAAAAATAACCAAAAATGGTCCAAATTGCACAAATATCATTCCGGAGCATTCTTGATAATTTTAATGTTTTCAAAATGCAAAATGTTATAAAATGCGCAAAAATCATTGTGCCTTTTTTGTCGATTTTGTCAATTTTCTAGCTTAAAAATGACCACAAATTGAAATTTAGGAGACAGGGTCTTTAAAATTTATTTACACTTCGAAATATTCGGTCAAAAAGAAAAGAAAAGGAGATCACAAATAAATATGTATTCGAAAAGTGTGTCACGTGGATTTTGAGCGCATAACTTCGTTCGTGATATACGGTGGATCTTGGGTATCATAGAGCATGAAAGACGCAAACAGAACTGTGGAGATGATGAAAACCCACATGATGATTTTTTCGAGCATTCTGAATTTCTTTTCAATTGTTTTGTACCAAACATCGTTCCCTTTACCTTGCCAACATCTGCCACTCCTTCCGTATTCTCTTCAAATGCTCTTGAGATGTTAGATCTTGTCGAATGGATTGTACAGAGCTTAGAACATCTACCACAACGTTATACATAGCTGGATCCAATAATTTGGAGCTATCGATTGATTCTTGTTCGACAAGCGAGGTTTTGTTGTGCTAAAAGAAATTTCAGGGTCTGGCGAGATGATAGAACCTTTTTACTAGAAAGTGAGAGTTAGCATTTCGCTACTCAACTGAAAATTATTAGTTTTGATTGTTTTCAAAAAGAAAGTGAGACCTTTGAATGAAAAAAATAACTCAAGAATAACATAAGGAAACTCAAAAAAATGAATCATTCCGGTGCAAAGAATCGGTGCAAAACTCTTTCAAACCACACAAAAAAAAAACGTGCCTACCTTTGGTTCGTCGGTTTTCAGCAATTTTTGCTGGAATTGAATAAATCCGTTAGCGAATTTCTTCTTGAGCTCTGACAGCTTGTCCTGTATATAATAAACATGGGAAACGGGTAAAACATGCTTAAATGAGCAGGTCGAGGGAGGCAATGAGAAAAATTTTAGCTGCCAGAGAAAAAATATGGGAAAATTGTACGATTTCGACTATGATCAACTGACTGACAAAGTGCCGAAATCACTGGACAAGGGACAAGTGAGTGATATGTGAAAAAATGGGACAATGAAAATATGGAAAAATTTCTAAAACTTACATATTTCTTCAATCTCATTTTGATACTCTCTTGCGTGTTCATGAGCTCTCTTCCAAAGAACCATTGCACGAAAGAGTTTCGGTTCATACGTATTGAAAGGAGGAACGAGCGAAGACGTCGGGTGATTGGGCGACCCTGAAAAAATATCCCGGATGAACAGATTTACAGTACCGATCAATAAGATATACAAAACGTATTTTTCAGTTGATTTCTGCCATTTTGATCATTTTCCAAAGTCTGAAGCTCGGCTGTCAAGTTCCCAATCATTTTGAAAATTTTGGAGGGTGTAAAACAGACCTCGATTAAAAACTTTGCATTCGCAGAATTTTTTGAAAATTCCTAGTTTTTCAGCTATCTGCCAAGTTTGTTGTAAAAGATGTAAAAGACCTAATTTTTCATGTTTTCAGTATAAAAACGGAAAAAATAACTGAAAAACTGGGGATTTTCAAAAAATTCAGTGAATGCAAAGTTTTCAATCAAGGTCTGTTTTAAAACCTTCACAATTTTCAAAGTGGTCGAAAACTTGGCAGCTGAGCTCCACGGCCTCGCGGAAGGGAACCTAGATTTAAAAATTGGAAAGCGCGCCAAGTTTGGACGCGTAGTGCGGTGGCGTCGCGGCTTTTCGGTGAGTAGCGACTCAACAACGCTTAACTTCACGTTTTTTCAAAACACGTTTCAAAATTTTCGAATCTGGCACGCAGCCAACTTTTGTGTGCGACGAAACGCGCGTTTCTCAGATTCCCAACCGCGATGCCGTGGAGCTCCTGACTCCTGAAAATAGTCAAAAATCAACTGAAAATATGTTTTTGTTTGTTTAATTCACACATGACGTGATTTGTAAGTTTTGAACTGATTTTCAACTTGCGGCCTGAATATTTTGAAAACTAAAATTTTTCAAGCTCGAATTTTGACACCATTGTGTTTCTCGTACTTGTCTTACTCTAAAAACATCAAATCGCGAGCTGATTTATAAAATTTAAAATATTCGAAAAATTGTCGCGACCTCAAAAAACCCAAATTTGCAAGGGGTCTTATTAACCGGTACTGTACAAATATATGTATGAAGCTTACCGCATTTCCTTGCATTTGAATTCCGAGTGTGAATGTGGTACAGTAGGTGGCCAAAAACATTATGAAAATAAGACCAATATAATATTGGCCAAGTAGCGGGACGGAGTTTGAAGTAGCTGGCAGTTTGTCTGACACCATCATCACTGAAAAATAAGGAAACTTGAAATTTAATTTTTTCGAAATAAACTCACAAATGATAGCCAATGAAAGCAGCGCAGTAACCCCAAGACTGACTTTCTCAGTGTTCTCTCCAGTTGAGGAATGTGGAGTAAAGAATCCAATAACAGTGACAATGGTAATAAATGCAGATGGAATAATTAAGGTGAAAAGATAATAGCTGGGATTCCTTTTAATAGCGAAGAAATACGAAATATCTGGATACGGATTGGGACAACAATCATAGTATTTCAGATTGTTTCGATAACGGAAATCAACCAACTTCCACTCCATGTTGGGAATATAGTGGTTTAGGATAGCAAGGTTTGTGCTGGAATTCAAACTATATTTTCAGATTTCCAGATTATCAAGGGATAACTCACGTATTCTTGATATCCAATGGGGCTTCTGTGGGTTGTTCAGCTGTGTTAAGCATAATTTGTGATCCATCATAGGACCAAGAAGCGAGCATTATGAAGCAAATCTGTTGATCATATGGGAACTTTTCCATTTGTAAATCACATGTAATATCTGTTATGATGGCTCGGAACAATGAGATTTTCCCAGTATGCTCGATTTGGACATTGGTCTGCATTTCGTTTTCTTTGATGTTCATGTTGGCGCTGAAATTTAAAAATATATCTTCTAGGAATAAGGTAATTTGAATTGACAGAAAGTTTTATAAACTCACTTGTTATAAACTAACAAATCCGGCTTCCAAATCATTTCCGATGGTACATGGAGCGATTTTATATTTCCGAAGTCTGATGGGTTCCACATCAGAAACTCATCCTGCCAATATTCCTCAATCCAGCAGTAGAGTGTTATGATTTGGTCATTCTCGTGGACTTTTTGGATTTGTTTGAAGTATAATTGAACTGTCACATTTGTAGGACCACTTGACTCGTCCTTTACCGGTCTGCAATTTCAGAATTTCATCTATTTTCTAAATTAATCAATCCTACCTCAATTCTTTGTGATAATCTCTAAACAAGTACTTAATGAGTTGTTTTTGTTGGGTGCATCCAGACACCACAAGGTATTGTAAAACTAATATCCTTAATAGCAATTGTAGATTTTTCATTTTGGCTGAAAAAGTTTAAAAAATTGGGACAACATGAAAAATAAAAGTTCAAAAGATGCCCCTCGAGGAGTTGAACTTGTGAGGGCGATGATTGAGGGTGCGGCGCCGCTACCGACTGAGCCACGCGGGCAAAGAGAAAGCGCACGCCCGATTGCATACATAAAGGCGAGGACGACAGCTGTACGCAGAGTGACATTAAGCGTTGTACACCGTGACGGTAGAATGCATACTCTAGCTACAAAAAAACTACGAAAAATCTCCTGTCCCCCCACCTTTAAAACCTCGTCACGACACCTTCTCATTCGAGCGCAACAGCGTAGCATGGCAGATTGAGCCCTGTGGGCTTGAGGCTACCTAAATTTAACAAATCACTCAAATACCTATTCGAAAGTCCTCATTTGTTGGAAAAAAGAAATATTCATGAATGACCTCTCTCAGTAAAAATCCACGAAAAAGTGGGAAAAGGAGAGTAAAATGGCATCTAATCTCGAATGCAGTAAATCTATCCGTGCGAAAATTGGCGCGAGGAAGAAGGAGAAGGAGGCGAAAAAAAGGAAATGTCTGAAAAGAAAAAATAAATTGCTGGTACCGAGGTCAATTGATATCATGAGGTGAAAAATTGTTGGGGATTTTGAATAGAGTCATGGGACCCGCTAAAAAATCATAAAGATCTTCTCATGAATAAAAAGTTAACAGAGGCGGATATGATCAGGTTCAAACTATAGGATGAAGACGTGAGATTCTGAAGCTAGCATTATTTTTTTAAATAATAAATAGATCGGATTCCTTTATTGAAAAATATCTACAGTACCGGTAAATAAGATATACAAAGACATACCGTAAAACCTGTATTATAAGGGCCCCTTTAATAGAAGGGCCCCTCTAAAAAAAGGGCCCTCTACGAGGGGCATGGAAAAATAGTAGAGCCCCCCTGCAATAGAAGGGCCCCCGTAATAGAAGGGCCCTCTGTGAAAAAGGACCCCCCCCCCCTTCAAAATGTGTTTTGATATCAGAAAATTTCCGTACTTTTTCAGTGGAAAATGCTCCGGGAACTCCATAATTTAATAGAAATTCGTTGAAACTCTGTTTTCCGATAAAAATCTTGCTAAATTTTGGTGAAATTGGCAGATTTTTTTGAATTTTGAACGAAACTTCGTCGAATTTTTCGATGAAAAATTTCGGAAACAAACTGGCCGGTAAAATAGCAGGGTTCCTCTAATTGAAGAGCCCCTGTAATAGAGGGGCCCTCCGGAGGTACCTTGGAAAAATAGAAGGGCCGGCCCTTCTAATACAGGTTTTACGGTAGTTTTCATCTGAAATTCGTTCGTTCTGACCATTTTCAGACGTCTGGAGCTCGGCTGTCAAGTTTATGATCTCTTTGAGACATTTTGAGAATGTAAAATAGACCTAGATTGAGCACTTTGCATTCACAGAATTTTTGAAAATTCCTAGTTTTCAGTTATTGGCCGATTTCTGAAAGACACCTGCTTTTATCAACTTTTGCGTACAAAAACAGACAAAAAAGGATGTCTTTCAGAAAAGGCAAATAGCTCGAAAACTAGGGATTTTCGGACAATTCTGTGAATGCAAAGTTTTCAATTTAGATCTGTTTTACACCCTCCAAAATTTTCAAAGCAATCGGTAACTTGACAGCCGAGCTCCAGACTCCTGAAAACGGTCAAAATAGTCAAAAATCAAACACATTTTTGTATATCTTTCTGGCCGGTACTGTAGCAAAGAAATTTTTTTTAAGTTTTTGAGCTTGAGAAAAAAAATATTATGCCAAGGGAACACTTGAGCTCGTCCCAAATATCAGCTCAAAAAAAAACAAAACAAAACATAAGGAAAAAGGCAAAACGAAAAATATGAGGAAATTGGAAAAGGAAATGAGCCGATTGATAATTTCTATGTATATGTGTTCCGTCTTTTTTCTTCAATCTTAAAAATTTTTGGTGGGTCATGTGGGTTCAGAAATTGGAATGAACATCGTTCTATGGTTCTTGATGTATGATTTTTGAAATCTTTGCTTCTGGGACCATGAAAATTATTTCAAAGAATTTTTGGTACAGAATGAAATGAAAGTAAACTGAAGATTAAGGAAAATTAAGTGGATTTCTCTCTTGGTTCATAAAACTTATTTCATTTTTTGATTCGTTCTGAAATCAGAAATCCTAAATGTTTTAGAATGAATATGAAATGAGAGCTATTCTATATTTGTAGTTGTTTCTGAATATGATGTGTGCATTTTTTGAAAATTGATGAAATAATGCAAAACAATCATAAGAGCCTCTTCGTTTTGAATAGGAATTTTTGTGAGGGAGGAGGAGCAGAAGAATCTGAAGGAGACTGATCAAAAATCGAAGAGCGACGAACACGTGGGGGGAAATTGCAAAACATGCATCTAGGAAATTATGTTCCAATACAAATGCCGAAAGGGTACAAAGATCCGTACGGTATGCTTTTAGGAGCACACATCTTGAACGAAAAATTCAAGACGGAAGTGTCAGAAAAGGAAAAAAGTATTTGGCAAAAGACTGAAGATAAAGCCCTCTCGAGAGCCAAACTCACGAGCCTCTTCGAGACTTGTTTCGTATCAACGTGGGAAGAAAAAGTGCCAGGAAGAAATATATATGCTTGTGAGAATGAAAATAGGTGACGTTGAGGTAGAAGTTGAAGGAAGAAGACGTTGAAAAGTTTAGGAAAACAAAAGGACAATTGTTCCTGATATGGATTACACAAAATGAGTTATGATTTGGTCAAAAAAGACAGAAGCGAACATCTCTTACCGTAAAATCTGCAATAGAAAGGCACTGCCAAGTTTAAGCTCAATTATCTCAATTCCTATGGAAGATATCAAAAATGTGTCAACTAATAAAATATTTGTGATATCATGATAAACAATTTATAAGTTAACAAGATTTTGATGTCTTTTACAAGAAACGAAATAAATTGACGAAAAGTTAAAAGTTAGTGGGTCCATCTATTACAGGTTTTACGGTATGTCTTTCAAACTAGCGCAGCACGAATGAAAACTTTTAGAAAAAAGGAAAAAAAGATTTCTGCAAAAAAGCGGATAGAGGGGGTGACCATAAGAAGAGAGCAGGCACAAAAGATCCGCCACTATGAGAACGGAAATTGTGTTTTTTGAGTAAAAAAAGAGGAAAGCGAGGGAAAAAAAGAGGATCAAGGCAAGACGAAAAGTCATCAAGAGGAGATCAGGGTCAGATGATGACGTGGCAAATTTTGCAGAAGATGGGTTCTGGAGGATATGTTAATTAGTAAGAGATCAGACCGGAAACAAGAGATAATGTAGAAAGAACAAAGAACAATAATGAAAAGGAAAAAATTTTTTTTGAGAGAGAGAGAGAGAGAGAGAGAGAGAGAGAGAGAGAGAGAAAGTTTTTTCCAAACTTTGAGCCAATTTTTTCTCGGTTTATGTCAAAGATATCAAAAAAAATGGTCAACGGATAAAATTGCTTACCTTAATATCAGAAATGTTTAGTCGGTTATCGCACTTTTGATATCTTCCACGGGAACCAAGATAAATTAGCTCAAACGGGACAGTTCTGGACCCTTTTATTACAGGTTTTACGGTATATACCATTGGAAATATGTTGGTGCATTAATAATTTTGGGTCGGAGTTTCCCTTTAATGGTATAACACTTTAAGAAATACTATTCAAAAAACTATAACTTGTGTTTTGAGCCTCTAGTTTGATCAAAATGAAACATTCCAAAAATACGCCTGCAATGATCACTAAAACTGCTCATTTTGAGCTTGAACGAAAAAAATTTGGCTCTCTAATTTAACTAATATAAGTGACACTTTTTAGACGTGCGTCTCGTTTTCCATATGAGAGGTTCCAGCTTTTTCCGACACTTCTTTCGAGACGACACCCACTCAGTTGGTTTATCTATCTCGAACAGAAATGAAAACACTTGAGAGAATAAGGAACCGAATATAGACATGAGAGAGCATGTTCATCAGGGGAATTGAATTTTTTTGAAGGTTGGTTTTTTGGTCGAAATATCACTTTTAAAGAGTTGACACTTTTTGTTGAAAAATCATCATATTTTTTGTTCAGAACAAAAATGAAGACTACTGTGTAGAAGGGCCCCCACACTGTCAAGCTTGAGATAATTTATCTTGGCTCCTATTCAAGATATCAAAAATGGGTCAACTGATGAAATCTTTGTGACATTATTATTAACTATTTATCACTTGACAGCTTTTTTCTATCTTTCACAGGAATCGAGATAATTGAGATCAAAGTTTACAGATTGGGCGCATTCTATTACAGGTTTTATGGTAATTTGCTATTATTGTTTTCCGAAAAAAAATTGGAGTTGAAACGCAGACAGTTAATCTAAAAATCTCTCTGCTCCTCCACCGAATATGTGCTATTTTGGCTTGTCGCTTCGTGGTACCTACAGCATTCAGACTGCAAAAAATACTCTCTAACTCTAATTTTTCGGACAACAATAATATATCGAACGAAGTAAAAACATATCTTTTCAAAATGTCAGATTTTGACACATCTTCTATCTCTCGAATCATCTTCTCGTCATTCCTACAAAAACACGCACATGACCAAAAAGAAAAAGACAAAAAAGACCTGACACGAAAAGACAAAAAAAATCTGGGACATAGTTGTCCACAAATAAAGTTAACGGAGCGATAAGTGACTTTTGAGAACAATGCTTGTTTTTTTCTTCCTTTTTCTTTTGCTCCAGAAAGAGAATTTGTTCCAATGAGAGCCAATTTCTTTCCTGATGAGGGAGCAGAAAGAGTAAAACTACAATTTATGAGAATCCCATCCGTCAACTTTGAGCTCAATTATCTTAGTCCCTAAAAGAGACATCAAAAATCTGTCAATTGATAAATTCTTTATCATAATATCACCAATATTTTATTAGTTGGCATTTTTTGATATCTTTCACAGAAACCGAGATCATTAAGCACAAAAGTTGATGGTTTGGGTGGGCTTCAATTAGAGTAAATGCGGTATTCTGGTACAAAACATTAGAGCTGTGGAAGAGAAATGCCGTTGGCCGTGGTCGAAGGTCCCACAACGAAAACTACCGTAATCTAAAAATGTTTTAGTTTTTCGGTTTCCGTACGTTTTCAGTCAATTTTTCCACTATCGAAAATTTTAATTCCCGACTTGTTTCGGGAAAAACAACATAAGAATCGACAAAAATCTGTAGAAAACGAGAAAATAGACAATGAAAATAATTTTAGGTTACTGTAGTTGTCGTTGTGGGACCTCCGGCAATGGCTACCGGAGTTTCTCTTCCTTTAATCCTTCATTCTACAAGTATAACATCCAAGAGCTCAAAACTGAAATTTCAAGAAAAAAACAAGAAATTGTTATTCAAATTTTTTTCGACGAAGAAACCGGAAACATGGGTGGGAAGATCGAATGACAATAATGCTTGAGAGTGGGTGGGAAACGGAATTCTTTGCTCTTTATTTTCTTGAAAAGGATTTTTTCTCCTGAATGCAGAAAAACAAAAAAGCAAAAAATTGAAAATGGGCACTTGACAAAAACCCCCAACTTTCAACGATTTTTTTCATATATTTTCTTATGCTTTTTTGAGTAGGTGAAGTGAGAATCAAGACAAGCAAACATCGTTCGCTTTGTTTTCAACTTCAGAATACTCGTAAATGCATATAAACAATTCCGATTCGAACGCGCGCCTCTTTGTTTGTTCGGAGGACTAGGTTTCGCATGGCCGCGGCGCAGAGTTTCCTCTTCCATTTGCATTTTTCGAAGATTTTTCGCATGTTTTTAGTCAATTTTCTTTTAATTTCCTTGAATTTTCTGGTTTTTTTTTGTAAAAATAATTAGTTTAAATTTTTCGGAATATGTCGACAAAAAATCGCGATCGATTAGTCGTCACAGAAGACTCAGACGACGATAATGAACACGAAGAGATGTCATCGGGTAATTTTTTGTGTGTTTCATCGAAATTCTACATCAAAATTGTCGCAATTTGTTGCTAGAAAATTGAAATGAACGAAGAAATAGTAGGATGTTCAACGAAAAAAGTTAATTTTCCACCATTATAGATCGACTTCAGTTTTTTCGAAATCAACAGAATTTTTCGGAATTTACAATTAGAAATTATTGATTTTCAGGTGACAATAGTGGAGAAGAAGGGCCATCATATGGAGATGCTGCAGCCAGAGATCCGGACGAGACGGTAGCATTTCCAGCACCACAGAGAGTAGGTTTTCATTAAGTTTTCTATTTTCCTCGTTGAATTTCAAAATTTTCTCAAACTTCCTCTTGCAGAAAAAGAAGAAGGTGATCAAGAAGTTGACTCGAAAGGAGCAGAGCCTGAAGCATAGCGTCAAAGAATATCGCATCAAGTTAGCGATGGTCAAGCCGGATATCACCACCGACAGAGAGAAGGAACGAAATTTGAGACGGATTGCTACAAAGTAAGAACAAAGAAACATGGCTAGGAAGGAAGGAAAGAGAGAGGCTAAAAGTCGTTGTATTGCAAATGGAATTGATACTTTGATTCTGCTTTTTTTTGCAGCATCTGCTAGTAGAGGCTTTATAGGGTGAAGACTAAAAGAAATTATTAAAAAAACAATGAAAATATAAATGAAAATTCATTAATTGGTTTTCTTTTCGAATTACCCAGAACTCATTATCTGCTAATGCCGTTAAAATTGACACATAATGATCTTTTTCTCCTTCCAGAGGTGTCGTTCAGCTATTCAACGCTGTCTCGGATCGTCAGAAGACCATGTCGGACGCCGTAAAGGAGAAGATGACGGCTCGTGACCGAAAAGAGGCTCGTGAACGTTTCGACGGAAAGAATTTCGATTCAGACAAGTTCGCCGACTCTGGATATGGATATGGAGGGAAGAATGAGGTGAAAGGGGAAGAAGAGGACGAGCAAATGAATATTGGAGATGATGAGATTGATGCTGGAAATTATAGTGATGAAGATTAACTTCGCTTTGGAACAATCACTATTTTATTGTTACCGTTGTTTTTTTTTTGTTCTGTTACATTTTTTCAATTCGTTGACCATTTTCTCATAACTAAAAAGACTTTGAAATGTTGAAATCTTTATTCAGATCCAATTAAAATTTAAAAAAGACATAAAAAGCATTATCTCGGCGCTGGACATGTCACTAATCCGGCATTAACGCATGCTGGGTTAACAGCCTTGGAGCCTGCCAAATCCACGTTGCAGATGTAGACACCAGCGTTGAAGTCACAGCAGTTACGATAGATAGCGGCTTGGCAGTTGAAGTCTTTTTGTTGAGCCCTGGAAGTTTTTTCATGTTGAATCGAAGGTTAAATCGATAACTTACGCGCATGGATCCATTCCGTTTCCAATATCGATGACGGCTTGGGCATCGCACTGATCGATATTTGGTTGATAGCGATCACGGCAGAAAGCCATGCAGTAGAATTCGGTCATGGTTACTGTAAAGTTATTAGTTTATTTTTCTTTTTTTTTATTAATTGCTTCCCATGCTTTTCCGATGGAATTCAGGCACCGCTGAGTATTAATAGCGAAAAAAGCTAATTAGCGAAAAACGCTTACGGTTGTGAAAATAAATACATGCGCCTTTAAACCGTACATCGAAATTATTTCATTTTTTCCGTTTTCCTTCAATTTTTTGCTTGTTTTTTTATTGATAATTTTTGTATAATTCTTACTAATCTTAAATTTATTCCCCTTATGAAGAAATTGCCCGAAAACGGACGAAAGTCGAGAAAAAAAGCCATAAACATTTGCTAACTCGGCCGCGGCCACAAGATTTGGTCTTCCACAGCTCCGCATACAAGCATAATACTTACAATTATATCCGGCGCCACATTGATATTGAGTGACAGCCAAGTCGATCCAGTAGTCGGTGGCTTCGGTGGTGTTGGCAGCGTTCATGTTCATGTAGGCATTCGGTCCCATGCAAGAGTATGGAGCCAAGCAGTCGCTGAGAGAGTTTCCGAGTCTGGAAAAAGTTTTTGTTTGTCCGGATCCGCTTATTTGAAAAACTCACTGGCAAACGTATGGTTGAATATGAAGACCATCAGCGTCCAAAAGATCTCTTCTCGCAAAATGGAAGGCCCAGTATTCCGGAATAGTATCGGTCATAGTGAGGTTGTAGCCAGCCATATAGGTCACATAGCATTGCTTAATCTTTGCGTAAACGTCAGAAGTGCATGAGTCAGTGAACTGTCCGGAGACTTCAGAAGATGCCAAGGCAACTAGCAGAATTGAAGACAAAATGAATTTGGTCATGTTTAGAGCAGTGTCTGATAGTATGCTGATTTTGAAGAACAGATCGGGACACTTTTATACTAGATTTTTTGTTACACTTTGTAAAACAGAATCTTAAAATTTTATCGACAACTTTTGTTATCAGCGGTCGGGGATGAGAATAGTGACGAGCACGCGTGCCTGCGTTTGATCATGATTCTTGCTCTTTTCGGTGCACGCATGAGTTTTGATTGTCTGGAAATAAAATAATAAAAATTCGAAGGTGAGAAGTGTACGTTATAGTCTTTTTGGATGACTAAAATGTAGTCGGGAAGTTGGAGAGGTCCGGATGTGGTTCAGTTAGTCTGGAGATCATCCTTGTAAACCAGACCTTCGCGGACCCTGTCATGGTTTTTTTTTGTAATCAGTATTTTAGGATCAACTAAATTTAATATGATGAAACTCAATGAGTACTACCAAATGATCCTATTTGGAAGAATGTGTCTTGTCTATGGACGAAGTTATAGGCTATAAAATGATTGATCCAGGCCCTGTCTTTTTTTGGTCCTTTTCGTCTGTTACTTTGTCCGTTTATTGAATACAGTGTTTCAAATAGTATCATTTTGTAGTATTCTTCTAGTTCTAACATATCCAATTTAGTTGGTTCAAAAATACTCATCCTGAAAAAAGCTGTAGCAGTCCGCGAAGGCCCGGTCTACAAGAATAGTGAGGATTACTTCGATCAAGTTAGGTCTTCAAGGTGTCACTAGGACAACCGGACCACCAGAAACACAGAATTTGTTTACTACCATTGGAAAAATCAACATTCCACAATCTTTAATTTAGATCAATTCGCACGGAAGCGGCCTTGAAAATCTAAATCAGAATCAAACTACACACAGACAAACAGAACCATTCCATTGTTTTTTCTAGTCTCAAGGTTGCGATAAATTTCAAATCAGAAGTTTAGGTGTGTATAGGTTCTGATTACTATAATTGGTAGACTTTGATCTTTTAGAAACCGAGAGTTTAGAAAATGTAACATAAACCTGTAATAGAAGGGCTTCCACACTCTTAAGTTTGAGCTCAATTATCTCGGCTCGTATAACAGATATCAAAAATGTGTAAACTGATAAAATGTTTTCAATATTATGATGAACAATTTATTAGTTGACAACGTTTCCATATCTTCAACAGGAACCCAGATAAATTGACTCAAAATTAAAGGTTGGTAGGCCCTTCGATTACAGGTTCAAGGTAACGGAATTGTTCTCCTGACCTTGTGATTATTAAAACTAGTTATTTTTTGTAGCCTACTAATGATTTACTGTATCTGATCCAGTGTGTCTTTTTTGCTGAATGGAAGTTTCTACAGTCAAAGTCACACCAAATAAAACATCCTTTGAAGTTAATCCAATCCTGCCTAACCTTCTTCTTCCTTTAAAGTTGAATCACATGGATCCCGTAGAGAAGTGTGAAAACGCGTGCAAGATGTTGGTCTCGTTTCAAATGATAATGATCATCATTTTTCTTCTTCTCTCCTTCTATTTAGACTGGATCATCATCTCCATCCAATTCGTCTTCTGCCAAAAACACCCAACACTTGTTATGCAATAGGGAAAGGGATATCTCGTTTCTCTAATATCTATTTTTCTGGGCCTGGCTATCTATGGATAGAGAAAATTACAAATGACCATTTAGTCGGTCGTTTGTATTTGATTCTCGTATTGTTTAAGATTACTTGTTTGTTTGGAGTGAGGCTGATCGAGATTTGTAGAATACTGTATGGATCCAGATTTTTTTGCTGGACTTTTGTTGTTCATAAATGATTACCGTATCTTTTAACTTTGAGCCAATTTATATCGGTTCCTGTCGAAGATTAAAATACTGATCAAGTGATAAATTGAATTGTAGAATTTCTTACCAACTTTTTTCTAACTTTTTTTATTTTTTTCTAACTTTTTTTATCTTTTCAGTAGAATATGAATAGTTTTGGACAACTGAATATGCAGTGGAAAGTCTCCTTCCAATCGTTCTAGATTTCATGTTCAGTACCGGCTAGTAAGGTATAGAAAAACGAATTTATCAGTTGAACTATTTTGACTGTTTTCAGGAGTCTGAAAGACACCTTTTTCGGTCCCTTTTTTACAGAAAATGTGAAAAAACAGCGGTCTCTCAGAAATCGGCAAATACCGTGTTTCCTCTATTAGAAGCCCACCTCTAATACAGGGTGCGGCAAAAGTATGGTAACACAAGTTTCGCGCAAGAGAGGGCTGGCCAAGAGAAATCTCACGAACAACCCTGTGGATAACCATGGCATGGTTTGATTAGTTAAATACGGTCAAGAACTGTCTAAAAACATAAGATCTCAAACTTTGATCATTCTGAAGAAATGCAAGACTGTCCAAAAACGAGTTTGTCAAAGTCCGCACCGAAGAAAGAAAAATGAGCCTGGAGCTCCGAATGAGCAGTCAGTCACTCAGTAGAATCGCTAAGCGTGAGCTTGGACTGACCCCATATCGTGTTCAAAAGACTGGAATTCTGTCGGGAAACAACAATCTGGTACGCGTCCAGAAGTGCAAATCGACATTTGCTGGCACGCGCCAAAATGAACACATGAATAGGATGTTTGTCGACGAGAAACTCTTGACGGTGGAAGTCGAATTCTCTTTGAAAAATTATCTAGTTTCTTCCCCGAGATCTGAGCTATCTAATAAGCATAGTAACATGACCAAAAAAGTTTCATATCTTCAGAACGTCATGGTTTTTGGTGCAACAATCTCCAAATTCTAATTTTTTGTAGGTTTTAGGTTGAAAATCAACAAAAAGGACTAATATGCAGAAATTTTCAAGGGTTATGTTCTTTCGTGGGCCAAATTCAATTTTGAAAACCATGTTTGGACTATTCAACGGGATTCTGCTCCCGCTCACAAGACAAAAATCATTCAGCCATGATGCACGGCCAATTTTTCAATATTCAGTATGACTTGCGAATGGTCACCCTCGTCGCCAGACATGAATCTGTTGGACTATTCCGCGTATGGAATATTTCAGTCGAGGGTCCAAGCACGTCCAGAACCACATTTGTAGCCATTGAAATCAAGTTTGGTCTCAGACTGGGTCAATTTATCTCCAAAATACCCCCGTGCCACGGTAGATGCGTTCCCGAAGAGACTCATCGATGTTGTGAGGAACTAAGGCAACCGCGTCGAACAATTTTTATAATTTCAGATTTAGAAAGTATTCAGTAAACTATTGTCCAATTTTCACGTTGATACGGGTTATTTTGGGAAAGTTACATCACTTTGAATGTGTTACCATACTTTTGCCGCACCCTGTATAAGCCCACCCTGCGACGTTATTGAAAACATAGAAGCACACCCTCTAACAAACGTTCGTGCAGCTCAGTTCATGCAGATGGCGCAGTGTAGTCCGTCTAGTTGGTTATTTTGCAAACATATTCTTTCTATTTCAACAAATAACTGGTATTTTCAGTTTTTGATGATTTCCTGAGAAGGAGGTTGAAAAATCGGAGCCCATGGGCTTCAATTAGAGGAACTACGGTATCTGAGAAAGTAGGATTTTTTAAAAAATTCTGTGAATGCAAAGTTTTCATTCTATTTCTGTTTTACACCCTCCAAAAATTTAAAAGTAATCGGAAACTTGGCAGCCAAGCTTCAGACTTTGAAAAATGATAAAAATGGCAGAAAATTAACTGAAAGATACGTTGCTGTATATCTTATTGACTGATACTGTAAATAATTTTGGACAACTGAAAACAGTTAAAAGTGTCCTTCCGATCGTTCTAAATTTTATGTATGTACCAATAGTTCAATTTTTTGAAAAAAAAAGAAATTGAATCTTTGCCATTGATTTGATCAAAAGATAGATGAAGAACGGTATCAAATTACTGGTCACTTCAAACGAAGAAGGAGGATATGAAGACGATAAACCTTGAACAAAAACAAAACGTCTTCCCCTGTCTATCCACTTTTCTTTTTCTGTTTTCTTACCGAGAATAAGTGTAATGGTTTTGGACACCGCCCGTTTTTCTTTCAGTACTTCCTATTCGTGGAATTTTTCACTTTAAACTTCCTATCTGTAACCATTTCTCATTTTGGGTAATTAGTTTCCAAAAGTACTTTGACTTCATTGTATCCTCGTTTTTTTTTAAATCACAGTGACTATGATTGCTTTTAGTTTTATCAAAAAATCATTTCACACCTTTTGTTTGTCATCCTCACTTCGTTCTAGTCTTTCTCCGATTTCTTATCAACAGCTGATTCACCTTAACTTGATCTCTGAAAGTTCTGCAATTCCAAACTTCGTTGTAGCCCGTTGCTTATCTAAAGAAAAATTGCAGGAAATAATGATAACCGACTTTTTAATGGTTTTTTCGGCTTTGGGAGTTTTCTCCACAATTGGAATGTCGAATATCAACAAACAGTGTCGAGATTTGTTGCAATGTTCGATTCAAAAGAAATGTGTCAATGTGAGTTTTGAAAGAAGGAAGGGTTTTCCATATTTTCAAATCTGGATATTAGATTTGTACCTTGAAAATGAAGATCTCGGACATTTTCCGTCTGTAACCTACCGTAAAACCTCTAATAGAAGGGCCGCCCCTTCTATTTTTCCGGAAAGCTTTCGAATTCTCTTTCAATATTCATGAGAATCTATCATTTTTACCGAAAAGAGAAAGTTCTCTTATAAAAAACTGTTTCAACAAATTTTTCAAATTGTGAAATTCCCGGGATATTTTTCACTGAAAACGTACTGAAATGTTGTAATTTCAAGGCATATTTTGAAGAGGGGCTCTTCTTTACATGGTGCCTTTTTATGTTTTCAAGCTCCTCGCGGAGAGCCCTTTTAATGCAGGTTTTAGGGCATAAATAGAGATGCATTCAGTAACCAAAAAATTTGAGTTTATTTATTTTCTACTCAAAACAGTTAGAACTTGTGTGTTCATTGAAAAAACAAGTTCGGCGAAGAAACGAAACGGAAAATATGATGTATGTACTTTGATAACTATAGACAGTGCGAAAATATAGTACCGGCCTATAAAAAAAACAACGTAATTTTCCGTTGATTTTCGGTTGTTTTTACCATTTTTCAGGAGTCTGGAGCTCGGCTGACAAGTTTCAGATATTTTTGAAAACTTTAGAAGGTTTAAAATAAACCTGGATCGAAAACTTTGCATTCACAGAATTGTTTTAATTCCTAGTTTTTCAGCTAATTGCCTATTAAACGAAAGACATCCTTTTTCGGCCTGTTTTGTACGGAAAACGGGGAAATACGTAGTCTTTCAGAAGTCGTCAAATAGCTGAAAAACAAGGAGTTCTCGAAAAATTCTGTGAATTCGAAGTTTTCAATCTGGGTATGTTTTACACCCTCCAAAATTATCAGCCGGCCTCCTGTCTTCTGAAAATGGTGCCAGAAATCAACTAAAAATTACGTTTTGTATATCTTATTGACCGATAATGAACAAAGGAAAACCCTTGCGATCCCAAACAGCTCAATTTCTAATCCCCAACTTTTCAGTTACCTGTTCTCTCAAAACTTGTGGACGGCAAGAACATCTCTGCGCAGATGTACGACGATATTGATAAGGTATCAATCACCAGATTTTCATCTTCTTCTTCCAAACACACCTTCTTTTTTTAAGTACACCGATTACGGTTGCATCTTTACCACTGGTTGCCAGGACGAGTGTAATGATTGTCCGTTGTGTTTGACGTCGAAATTGCAAATCGTCGATATTTTGTCGGGAGAAAAATCGTCCAATGGTTAGTTCAGTTGTTGAAGGATTTTTTTGCAAAAAAAGAATTGTAGTTGAGTGAACCAGAATCAATGTTTGATTTTTCAGAATGCCCAACACTTATAGATTGTGCTTTGAAATGTGTCTCGGAATCAAACCAAGACATTTTCCAAATCAACAAATGTTTGAGACAAGATTGTGCATTCCACTGTTTTGATGGATCCTGTCCAAAGTGTTCGGGATTTATTACAAGGTATACTTGTTTTAAAAACTTCTCGATAGCTGAATTACGTTTGCATTATCTGAAACATTTTCAGAGTGTTCAACCAAATGTGTGCTGCTGGAAACTTCCGCCAAAAAGTGAAAGGCTACTCAGGTCCGTGCTATGAAATGTTCCACGAAATTGTCCACGCCAAATTTTCCGATCGATTCGAGAAGAACGGAAAGACGCGAGGACACAGTGGTTAAGAAGACCGACTTGCTTATTTTGTTGATTTTCGAATTGTACATAGTTTTTTTTGTTTTTAAGAAAAAAATAAGAATGAGGTAGAACAAATTAAAAGAAGACCAAAAGCTTACAACAAAACTACGGAAATTTCATCATTAAACAATAGTTTCTTATCCTCTAGAGCTTGTTGCACAGATCTTCCAATACTCTTCCATTGATTCTTGTACAGTGGTTGACTAGCCGTGGCTATTACTGTCATGGATTGGACAAACGGACGAGCTTTGACTCCAGATGTCGCACGTCGTCTTGGAAGGGCATTGAAGTTTTCTGGCTAAATTGTAAAGATATATCGATTTTAAAGCAACAACTTGACCCACTTCTCCGTTTGTATCCCCTGTGGAAATGGTAGCTGTAACTGAGGAAATGGTAGATGTAACAGTGGCAACCTAAAGGAAGTATTTGGAATTTTGAAGTTATTGCTAGAGCTCACTTGAATGGTTGTTCCGGCATTCGTCGTCCCAGTAACTGGAGCATTAGTGGCACCAGACACTGGTGATCCCGTTGATCCGCCCGTGACACATTTATAGATCACCGTACCAGACATTGCGATATATGTTCCATCAGTCTGGCAAACTTCTCCATCGACGATTTGTACACTGGGTGGGTAAATGTAAAATTCAACGTTGGTGGGATATATAAGTAGATTTGATTAGCAGTGAGACCTTTTGCTATCTGGAAAAATTTTAATGATAAAAACACTGATAGTGAGGCACACCGCCAAATCCAAGTCTGTTTGAACTATTCGGTTGGCGATGTCCTTGGTTAGAGACTGTCCGGGTACAAGATCCACGTCTGGAGGTGGATATGTGTAAGCGAGAGGCGCAAAAAAGGATATTCCAAACTCTGCTGTCGTTGAGGAGGTCCCTGAAGATTAAGTATTCAAAGTCATCAAAAAACAGGAATTACCTGTTACATCAGACCCACAGGACCAGACTAGTACAGGAGATATGATGACTAAGAAATATATTTTAACTGACATTGCTTTAACAGCAAACGAAAAATATTGGTAGTTATATACCATTCATTTTGGAGTAAATAGTTGTAAAATAATAAAATATGAAATATTATTTTCTGTTGCAAAAAAGGTGCGCGCCTTGTTAGTTTACCAATATAAGAAAAAGTCTAGACATGCAAAAAAACAAACTTTATTTTAAAAAAAGGAAAGATATGAAAAATAGAGTAGAACAAAGAAAGCATGACTTTAATTGTAAACGGTCACAACAGTATCGGGGTAAAAATTGGCTCCGTGCTTGGCTGCCACCTTATCCGCCACTTGACTTGCCAACATATTCCATTGACTTTGATAAATTTGCGAAATGGCGGTAATTTGAACAGTCAAATCAACCTTGAACTCTTCTGGTTTAAGTTTCCCTTCTATTTCTGTGCAGAGATAGTAAAGTGTTTTGTCCACAGGAATAGCTTCTCCTGCCTTAGCGCATGCAGTGGTACCAGCAGCAGCAACAATGACATTTTTAGCGCTATAAGTGATGGTTGGAGGGTTGACATCGTTCAGTGGAATACTATTGGCTCGAAGAACTTCGTTTATCTGTAATTTTTCCCTTTTAAAAGTTGTTCAAGTTTCGTTAATAACTTACCGAAGTCTGAACATCCGCCTTAACAGTTTTGTTTGCAGTATCTGCACTAATCTGACCCACAAAGGTACATCCTTCTTGCTCACAATAAGTGTACAGAATAGCTGGATTCATTACAAAATCGAATTGTGCCTTGCTTCCAAGAGTACCACTTCCAGGAGCACATCCTTCCGCTTGAACAACAACCAGAATAATAATTAAACTCGCAATCTTCAGCATTTTGAAGTAGAAAAATACCTGCGAACGTTGAGGAGAACCGTAGCGAATCGAGTTCGACGTCTCAGTTTTATACAACAACTCTGATAACCTTTGACATTGTTAGAGTTTTATTACCCACCTATTCACAAGAACATGTCTTTTTTTTGCATTTTTTTTGTGTATTTGGCAAAAATTGCTTACTTGGTAAATAAAGCGTTTTGGCAACATTTTAGTATTCAGTTTGTCTTTTTTCATATTCAAAGACTTTCTTGTAGGTGTGGCATTATGAAGGAGGAGGTGGAGGGGGCGAGAAAAACGAAAATGCAACAAACTTTATAGGTGGGAGCAAATATCATGTAAGCCAATTTTGGAAATATTGGAAAATGGGAGGAAGCATCGAATGGCAAGGAAATCCAGATAGTTTGATCATGAAAAGAGGAAGCTTCCGAAATAACTTTGAAAAAGATAACTCAACTCAGTTACTGTAACAAGGGTTCAACAATTGGTATGGAATCCATGGAATGATGAACTCTCTGAAACATAGCTAAAGCCTGCTGCAGATTCTTGGAAAAACTTGTATCTCTAACTCTCGGTAATTCGAGTTTTAGTTTATTATAATGTTCAATTTGAATGTCTCCCTGCCTCTTCTCTATGTAATGAATGAATAAATCAATGGAAAAATTGACATGGTCCCTGTCTATGGCAACGTTTGAGTGCCGGTCTATTTGAGGGAATAAGAAATATCCTAATTTTTCTGAATCCATTCATATGAAAATCAACCCACACGTTCATCATCCCACACCTCCATATAAACGTATAACAAGACTTTCTCAGGCTAAAAGGCTAAAAGACTTCCTCAGGCTAAAAGTCGCTTTCAAGAAAAAAGTCCTTCTGAAATTATTCATTTTTGAATAGACTAGACACGGAAGCTCCCCGCAAAACTTTTGTCAAACGCTTTTTTCACACTTTTTCTTTCATTTGAAAGATCGTTTCGGGCGTTTTGAAAAATTTATGAAGTAGGTGGAACTTTTTAGTCCTCCTCTTCATTTTTGTTTATGAAACTTTTCCTTACAAACATACGACGTTCAGGCATTTGAAAAAATTCTAAAATTTTTGAATAACCTGGTTATTCTTGTAGAACTATTTCTTCTTTTGAAAAAAAACTGTTTTCGAAAATAATCTTTTGAACTACGTCGAAAAATCAAACCCTATTAGCTTCGTATTATTTTCTAACACATACATATTTACATATGAAAAAAAGAGAGAAAATACATGATTGACGGTTTGGCTTTGGCTTATTGATGTTCCAACATCACAATTTACCTTTTTCATGAGTGATCAAACTCATCTAGTCCTTAATTAAGCGTCCTATTTTTATATAAATATTTGCAGCAACCAAAAACTCAAATTTGAGAACTATTGAAATGCAAAGGAAAGCTGTAAATATTTATGGGACAGTTTGTTGTTTGTTGCTGCTCGTAATTTTTTATGAAGTACAAAAGGTGAGAACATCTTAAGGTTAACACATCTGATTATTTCAAAAGTTTGAAACCACAAGCTCAGGTTTCCTATGAATCTGCAATTACCGCTATGTCTTCCTCAATATCGCAAAGCTCTGAATTATTGGGAAAATTTGGAATCATCAAAAGGAGAACACTAGACCGTTTACAATTTCAAAATGACAAACTGAAACTTAAGAATAATGTGAATGCCGTTGGCCTATTGGAGCTTTTGCCAAGCACGTATGTTTCCGAAAAATGCAGGTGTATTTCCAACCGAACAGGAAAATCCTACGATTTTTGTTACAGAAATCCGAAGGTTTCCGAAAATAGAAAAATTCCAAAGAACTCAATTTTTCAGAACCTATCACTGACTGGTAAAAAATTCAATTGCAGCTATTTGAGTACACTGGAAGATCTGAGTAAGTGGATTTTCGAAAAATTTTCCATAGATTTTTTATCAGAGCTTCTGGAAGATACGGATCTCCGTCTCGTTAATCTCAGCAATAAAGAAAGAAATGAAAGCGATGTGATATTTGTTTCAGCCATCTCATCTAATCATTTTGGAAAATTTCTACAAATGGTTGGTCTAATTTGTAGCTCTTCAAATTAGTCATTTTTCAGTACGAACTGTTGAAACGGCATTGGCCGAAGCAAAAAGTGTTGTTATATTCCCTAGATCTATCTGATACACATATCGAGAAGCTTGAGAAGGACAAAAATATTAAGGTACGGAAGTTTGATTACGAAAAGTACCCGAAACATGTGGAAAACTGGATGGAGTATCGGTTCAAGGCACTTATTCTAGCTGTGAGTGGAATCTGAAAAACAACTACTAGAGTTGGATTCAGGAAGCGATTCGAGAGTTTCCAAATATTTGGTGGACCGATTCACATAATCGGTGGTTGAAGCCAAAGCCATTGACAAATTTTTATGGAGAGATTGCAAAGTGCCAGGGGGATGTGGATTGTGATAAGGAAATTTGTTTATCTGGAAAAAAATGTCATCTTCGAAAGATAATTTTCCAGAAATCTTCAATTATGATGTTTGTCAACTCCACGCACAGTAACTATGCTGTGTTAATGGAAGGCGAGCCAACTAGTGCACAATAACTGACTAACCCTAAAACTTACAGGGTTGCTTGATTACTTTCCAACTTTCAATATTGACACATTAAAGTACAACGACAAAGGATTACAGTTGTCAGCTGCGTTTGTGTATTTAGCCAGAACACAATTCACATTAGACGTCTTAAAATGGTAAAACTTGAAATTTACTTTTTAGTTTTTCAATCGTTCCATTTTCAGGCATACTCTATGTGCCTTGGAGGAGAAATGCATGAAGCCACCGAATGCAAAATTAAAATGTGATTCTATTCCGGAATGGGACAAATACGCTGGATGTTTTCGATTTGATCAATCTTCCTTAAACTTGCTGATGTTCAATTCATTTCGAAATCATAATCATTATTTTATGAATGTCGGAAAAGTCACTAGAACTTATGATCATTATTAACTTTTTTCATTAGATTACTATTCGTAGAATACGAGCTTTGATTTCATATTTTTGAGTATGTCATTCATTAAGCTATCAAAAGTTTTATTTATTGATTTATTTTACAACACAGGTAAAATGCGAACGGATCCCGGGTTACGGAACGNTGAGCGTCCGTAAACAATTGTTCGCGAATCACCTGTGAAATCATGTTGGATTAGTTGCTTCAGAATACTGATGTGTCACCACTGAGATTGAAGTTCTTCCAAAACCAATAGGGTTCATAATACGCCGACGAAGAGCTGGCAAAAAGAAAATGATAGCCATTGGATCCAAGAAAGGAAACATTGAAACAGCAACGGCAGATGCCCAGTACACCCAACTGAAATCATAAAATATATATATGTATATGATCTATGTCTCACTTCATAAAGTCAATTCTCAGAGCCGCTCCATAGAAGCTAAGAGAGCATGGCATGAAGCTGACGCAAATTGGAATGATTGTTTGGATGGCCAACGCTTTGAATAGCTGTTTTTGCATCTGTGTCGTTTGCTTACTCATCGTGATTGATTTGATGTTCAGGCCTGTGACGATCTGAACACAGAAAGATTGTTTTACTGGTCTTTATAGAGGGATTCACTTTGTAACCCAAAACAAAATACAAGATCATAGAGTAACTTGCAATGATGGTCAACAGTAGAATACCAGCCCACGATCTGGCAACAATTGTGGACGAGGCTTCCTAGAATTCAAATTAGTGGGCCGTGTCTAGAAGCGAAACTAACTGAAAATAAACCAGCAACAAAATTGATGTCACTAATACTTTCATTATAGAGTTCCTTGAATGGAACTCGTATGTAGTCTCGCATCTCAGGTGCAGAGTGAAGGCAGTAGAAGTCGATCTTAATATTTTTACTTTCAAAAATAAACAACCTAAATTTTCTATACTTACCAATGACCAAATAAACATATGAACTATAACATAGCCAATGGAAAATATCAAACCATATGGCATAAAATAATCATTGATTATGTTATTGCTGAATATCGGAATTTTAAAAGTATCGGGATTTTAAAAGAAAGTTCTAGTATATCGCATACCTCTTCAAAGTGAGAAACCTGAACACAAAATGAATATTTAAAATACCGTAGGTACCAGCAATAAATGAACAGCGGAACGAGAGAGGAATTTCTCCATATTCTGATCGCTGGAAAAAATTATCTTTTGAAGAAAACATGCTCTACATTATTTGACAAATAATTCGCAGTGTCTATAAGTTTTGTAGTCCTCAGGGTACAAAACAATTTAGGGGTACGCAATTCTCAATTCGGGGGTCCAAATTACCTTGAAAATCTAATTTTTGTAACCAAGAATTGTCGATTTTGTAACCCTAAATCACTTTGTGCCCCCTTGTATCCCCGAATTGTTGTACCCTCCGATTATGTTCCACATTAATTCACTTTGTAAACTACTCACCACAGAAAATGGACCCTCCACAATCCAAGTGACAAAAGCATAGTGGTAGCAAAAAACTGACTGAAAGCTTAAAATTTCTAAAGCGTACTAGGACTATACTTACAACAGGAATGAGAAGATCTGCAACCGAAGCACACAGATTGAACACTGCGAAAAAAACTAAAAGGTATCGGTAACTTCCAAAAAGTACTTTTTTGTTGGAACAGATGAGGTAGATGAAAACTGGGTTGGAGATGAAGGATAAGACAAACGAGATTTTTGGAATCGAGTAGTGAAGCCAATTTACATACATTTTCTGTAAATCACAACCGTTAAACAATGAAAAAACAATAGCGGAGTGGTATCAGAAATACAATAATTTTCAGAATCCTCTCTATGCTGGTACATAATGCTTTCTCCCCGCCCATTTGCTTCTAAATCCGATAGTTCCAGACAATTCCCATAAGTGCGGTTTATTATGTTTTTGTGAATGGCGTTCAATCACTCAAAGATTCACATTTTGAATTTGAAAGTGAGTAATACGGGATTTGAAGATGTAAATCATGCAATATAATAATCAGTAACTTTGCAAAGATCATAATTTTTATAGAAAACTTTAGCTTGACTAAATTAAGATTGCGTAGGAAACGTTGGTGGTTGAATTGTGAAGGATTAAAAATGTGTTTTCTAAATCTTGACCAAACTTTTCTCATTATGAAAATAATCAGAAAAAAACTAACGCCTCTTCAGGTACAATAATAACTTACATTAAAAAACCGTGACGTGCATTTTCAGATTTCAAGTTTTGGTTTTTGACCCATTATTGTGATCCTCATGTTATCATTTACGCCAGACTGGGTGATACGGAAATTAACTATTGAATAGCATTCTTCGGACCGAGCTGATCATTTACGCGAGACTGACTGATACTCAATTTCGGTTTTGGATGACACTCATTGAACCGAATCGAACAAATTTGATCAGAAAAAATTTTGATCAGAATCAAGAAATCGAATTTGATATAATAATTTCAGAACTTCTCCAGTTTCGGCATCTCGACTTATTCCTTTATCTATATTTACATTTCTCTTGAACGTTTGAACTTTTGCTATTTGATTTTCCGCAGATCTTTCCCTCACACACTCTCGGTGGAAACTATGGCAAAAAAAGTAAGATAGTATCTTCCTATTTCATAAATCTCAAAATATGGAACCAATCGGATTAAATTCAATAGGGTCTCTCGTCAAGGAAAAACCAAATAGAAATCCTTAAATTGAAAAAAAAAAAACTTCAGAAACGGATCTGTTTCGGGGACGTCATCAGCGTGGACTTTTGCTGACATCAAAACATAATAAATCTTTTCTACGGTATTTAGTTGGTGAATGTATGCCTCCAAAATTCTTTGCGACTACTTGAAAAGGTCTCGAAGCCCGAATTGTGTTCAAAAAAACTAAAATGGTTTTTTTTGTCATAAAATTCTAAGCCGGTACTGTCCTCGTGACGCGCATCCAAGACAGATCTGAAGGAAAAATCATTTCTGTTTTTTAGCTTTTCGCATTCTTACACCTCGTGAGATGTACCGCTTATACTACACACATTCAAACTTCACGAACAACATCTTTCACGGAATTGTGAATAAAAAAACAGAGAAAAAGTCCTAGATAGAAACAAATCAGAGCATCATTCTTATCTTTACTATTAACAATCACCAAATTCTGTCTGTATGTCCGTTTGTTCCCGGTTCCACGACCCTAGCGAAGTCCCCAGTAGACCAAAAATTCTCAAATTTTCACAGATGATCAGAAATAGCAGCGAGATGTTGCCCGTCTATTTTTCATTTTGAAATTTTGGTTCTGACGTCATCTGGAGACGGTACTCCATTCCTACAGTGCAACTCTTTAGAAAATAATTTTCACGTCACTTCCGTCCAACCCCTCTATTTTTTTTCTTATTCACACTATATCTGATAAAAAGGTGATTTTGGGAAAATAATTATTTATTATCAGTTTTGAAAGTAGAGAGAAAGAAAAATTTCAGAAAATTTGAAAATTCTGACTTTCTGAATCCCCTAACTTCTCAAAAACTGAATTTCGGAGATTCTGATTCACGAAATTTGATTATTTTTTTCGAAAATGCGAAATTTCTAACCATTCCTATGCTTCAAACATTTTGGTTTCACTCTGAAATTCTAAAATTCTAATTCAGGAATTCGGAAAATTGGAAAAACGGGAACTCGAAAATACCGAGATTTGAAACTTCGGAAATCCAGAAGTATAAAAATTCAGATATTCGGAATATTACGAAATTTAAAAATTTGAAAGTTAGAACACTCGAAATTTTGAAAATAAAAAATCTCGAAAGCAAAAAACCAGAAAAACCAGAAACTCAGAAGTTCAGAATATCAGAAAGCCCAAGTTCGGAATTTAGAAAATTCGGAAATTCATAAACTTTGTGAATCAAAAACTCAGAAATGTGTTTTATAGAAAATTCTGAAAATCTGATTCGTGTTAAAATTTTTAATTTTGGGAATTTGTGAAGTAGAAACTCAGAAAGTCGGAAATACGGAAACTCGAAAATACGAAATTTCAGAAATTATGAGTTTTGAAATGAAGTATTTTAATAGAAAAATCTTTGAGTTCTAGAATCGCAGTTCCGAAAATTCAAGACTCCTGAATTTCGAAACATCTGAAAAAATTATAAGTTGTTAAATTTCAAGATATTCGGGAATTCAGGAAAATTATTAGTTCTAAAAATTTGGAAATGTTGAACAGTTCGTGTATCAACTAAAACACATTTCTGATCTACATTTCTGATTTATCTGTCCAAGCCGAAACTCAATCGGTTAAGGCTGTTGTAAGCGGGAGCCAGAAGGTTTAGCCCCGAAGGCCCATAAGCAGACTGTCACTCCAGTTTATGAAAGTTGACAACACAATCAATAGAAATTGACGTCACATTTAAAAAAGAGTGAGTCGCGAAGCGACGAACAGTAAAAGAAAAAGGTTTATTCCAGCTGTTTGAAGCGCCGGAGGCGCGGCAAACAGGCTGGTGTTAATAGTATAATTATCAAAGAGCGTAATGACCTTCCTTGCTGGTATTTTAGAGTGAGTAGTCAAACTTCATAACTGCTTGATCCGGCAGCTGAATTTTGCTTTTATCAAAAATTTCTACACCCCATTGTTAATTTTTGAATATTTGAAATCACATTTCGTTTCCGGAACGGTCAAAATGTTCGAAGTTAAAATAGTTGAACCTTTTATTCCCTTATATTTTGAAAATCGATTTCCGCTGAACATTTTACCTCATTTCATGCAGTTATCACCGACATTTTTTTCTTTCATGGAAGTCACCCTCTAATAGAAGTCCACCGTAACTGTGCAGTTCGTTTTCGGCTCCGGGACATTTCGCAAGCGGACATTTCGAAACCGCGACAATTCGAAAGCGAGACATTCCGAAAGCGTGTTAAAGGAGGCCAGTCACGAAAGTTTACGGAGTTTTCTTGGAGCGAGATCATGTATTCTGACGGAAAATCGTGCGATTGCGACCCAATGCGCGCTACTTGACGAGCATTTATTTTTTTAGAATACACTAGTTTTCTTCACTGTTTGGCAATTATTCCCTACTTTTTCTTGTTATTCGGTCATTCTATGATGTCGCCGCATGAAAACAGAAAGAAAAACGAAAACGAACTGATGGGAATCGAACCCGCGATGCGCGACTGATACACAGGTAAAGGGGGACTGCCAAAAAACTGCTAAATGACAGCTGAAGAGGCGCAAACTGGCGAATGACTGCTAGTTGGCAGCCGAAGGAGAACTGACGGGCCGTCGACGGTCCGTCGACGGACAGTCGGTACCGATTGGAAAACATACTTGAAGGTTCTGATTGGAAATCATGCAGAAAACAATTTCTCATACTCCCACTAGATTATAGAATGTTGATAGAATCTTATTTTCCTCAAATATGACCACCTCAAAAAATAGGTTGTTGAACGACTGCTAAATGACAGTCGAAGAGGCGCTGACTGGCCAACGACCGGGTGTTGGCGGTCCAAATTCCTTCAGAATGGAAAATTTTGTTGAAAAAATAGTTCTCTCTAAAAACATCATAAAAGTCATAGAGAGGTCTGGGAAGCTAAAAAATGCGTTATTAGAAGCATTTCTATAAAAATTAGGATTTGAGGCGCGGTTGGTGAAAAACTGCTAAATGACAGTCGAATAGGCGCTGACTGGTTGATGGCGGCTGAATAAAAAAATATGTTTGAAAATTCCTTGGTATATATCTAGAAGCATGTGTTAGCATTTTCGTGTTCCAAAATCTTTACTCGAGTTGTCATCGCATGATAATAATCAATCGTTCAGGACACATGTTCTCGGTCATATTTTTCAATTTGCTTAAGATTTCCGACGAAATTTGTTTTTAATTTTGTACAATTTGTGTCTGAATGTGCTATTTTTTCCGTTTTTCTTCAAAAATCACAACAATTCGTTTTTAAATGCCGTTTTATAACTGCCGAGTTTCAAAATTTCGGTTTGCAACGACACTCCGAAATCCCGCAACGACACTCCGAAATCCCGGCTGCGCCTTGTTTAGCGGCACAAGACTTTACTAATTTTTCGTCTTTTTTTCAGTTTCTTTCGCTTTTCGAAGTGTTCTCTTATTGAAATTCAGTATTTTTCGCTTAATTTATCTAACTACTGGCATAAAGAAGCACTGAAAAGCTTTGCGCACTTTCGCTCTGCGCGTTTTTAGTCGAAAACGCAGAAAAAATCGGCGAAAACTCCTTGCGATGAAAGTTTCGAAAGTTTCGCTATTTTTTGCTTCGGAACGTTACAAATGCAGCCTTTCAGGAGTTTTTATATGGTGAGTTGGTAAGTTTTTATACGTTCCGAAGCAAAAACTATCGTAAACTCTGAAATTGTTCATGCGTTGTCGAAAATTCACCTCGCCGATACTTCATAGGTGTGACGTTTTGCAAGTGCAATGTTTGGAAAGTAACAACTTTGCAAGGTTCGCACAAAAATTAATACGAAAATCAGTTTTTGCTGTTTCTGACTTGTTTTTTAAATTTCACATGCGAAACGTCGCCCTTTTGAAGTCTGCTTTAAAAATGCCGCAGAGCCTAAAAATCTAAAGATTTTTTACTTGCCAGTTTTTAGTGTTGCGAACGCATCAATTTTATTTATTTTGAACGTACTTATAAGCGAAAAATACTGTTCAATGAGAGAAATGTACATACCGAAAAACGAAAAAAGTTGAAAGGGAGAAACGAAAGAGAAAGAGAACGAAAGGAAATAAAAAAAGCTTCTGATTTTC